AGAGGAGAGGGCGAGGGAGAGGCGGGGAGGAGAGGGGAAAGGAAGGGAAAGAGAAGGGAGCACTCGTACCTGCACCACTTGGTCCTCGTGCCATTCTGCGCTCTCCTGCTTCGACTTCATCCTCAACATCTGCGAGAACTCCGTCCTCGAGATCTTTCCGTTGCAGTCCAGATCTCCTATCTCCTTCACAGCCTCCAGTGCATCCTTGCTCAGCTTGATGCCCAGAGCAGCAAATACCTCTCCAAGTTGCTCTACCTCCATTTCCTCCTCCCCTGCTCCTGCTCCTGCTCCTGCTCCTGCTCCTGCTCCTGATCGACCTCCTGCCTCTCGCGCAAAACGGTTGAAGAGCGAGTCAACATCGAGCTGGAGGGACTTCACTGTCCTCCTCAACCTGCTCAGCGCCTGGTACCCCTGCAGCCTCTGCTGCTGCAGGATCGGCAGCGCCTCCGTCGTCGCCTGGTCCACCATCCAAGGATGCTGCAGCGCCTCCTCAGCACTCATTCTCTTCTCCGGGTCAGGGTGGAGCAGGGCCTCTATAAAGCTCTTGCAGGACAAGGAGAGCAGCGGCCACACGTCGTTGCTCCGGTCCAACCTCCCCTCGCAGATGTTGGACAGGATCTCCGAGTCCGAGCAGGAGGCCGTGGGGTCGAACGGGTGGGACCCGCACAGCATGATGAAGAGGACAACGCCAAGGGCCCACATGTCGATGGAGGAGGAGCAAGGCTTCCTCTTGATGATCTCAGGAGCCCAGAAGTCGAAAGTTCCCCTGTCTACCTCCACCTCAAACTCTCCCCCCTCCTCCCTCGCCATCCCGAAGTCGCACAGCTTCACGTTGGAGGTCGGGTCGGAGGAGCACAGCAGGATGTTCTCAGGCTTCACGTCCCCGTGGACGAACTTCCTCCTGTGCAGGTGGAGGATCGCGCTCGTAATTTGCAGCATGTAGTCGCTCGCCAGCGCCTCCGACAGCTCCCCATGCCGCACAACGTGATCAAACAACGCTCCTCCGTCCGCCAGCGTCATCACCGTGAACCAGGCATCCTCCGTCTCGCACATGCCCTCGATCGCGATGAGGCTCTTGTGTGATCCTATCCTCTCCATCAACCTCGCCTCTGATCGCAGCGACCTCACCGCTCGCTCCTGCCACTCTTCGTCCTTCATGCCCGGATGCCTTTTGGGCGTTACCTTCACCGCGACGTTCTTCTTCAGCACCTTGTCGTAGGCCTTATACACCTCTCCCTGCCCGCCTGATCCCAGCTTCACGAGGAGCTGGAACCGATCCTCTTGCCGCTCCAGCTGCATGAAACTATCTCTGAATGCCGTCGAGTCGCACCGGAGTGGGCAGCATGCATAAAATGCAGCGCCAACAGCAGCCCCGCACAGCACAGCAGCGGCGTTCTTCTTGAGCGGCACCCTACTGCCGACAAACATGGCAAATCGTCTAAACCTGCTGGAGGGAGAGGAGCCAGGGCGAAAGCGTGCTCCGAGCGATCTTGTGAAATTTCTCTGCAACCCGAGCACCCCCCTGCTGTAGCTGAACGAGAAATATCGCCACATGCTCTGAAGAAGACAGCGTTGCCAACCTGCAAACTCTAGTTTTGGTGCAATGCAATCGAGAAACAACAAAGGGGACTCCGCAGCTCTGTTCTGTTTGCGACAAGATCACGAGGTACTCGTTTTGTACCTTAGAGGGAGGAAAGAAATTCTCTTGTATGCCTCCACTCTCCCATGAGATTTCCCGAACTCATCATCCTGGACAACGAGAGTGTTTCAACTTGGATGAAGTATCCTCCTCTCCTTGCTCCTGCTCCTGCTCCTGCTCCTGCTCCTGCTCCTCCTGCTCCTCCTGCTCCCTCGCTGCCCTCTGTGCCTACACTCCAAAAACCCCTTGCCCCAGGATGTCCTGTACCCCTACCCCTAGTTATACTACCCCCTACTCATAATATGTACCCCCATTTTTACATAGTATCACCCCATCTTTTATGCTATTCTATTCAAAACGCACCACCCTACCCTACTAGTCAGTTTATCACCCCTACCACCCCTCAATCATACAGCTGGTTCTGATTTTTAACTTAACTTTGAGTAAAGAGATTATGGTTCTGCGGGGCGGCGTAGTCGTCCTCGTACAGATTTTTAACTTAACATTGAGTAGATTGCAGCGCCGCCGCGGCCGGGCCGGGTCGCGGGCCGGGGCCCGGGGGCCGGCGGACTCGGACCCGTGGCGTAGCCTAAACCGATGCGGCACTGATTCGGTGGCAGCCCGCCTCGGAGTCACAGGCTCCGGGGCCGACTGTGACGGTGACTAGTAACTCCTGAAAAGAATTCGGAACTTCAGTTAGGCTTGTGCCACCGGCGGGTCACCGGACTGCCACCCGCGGCCCAGCCGCCGGCGGGTTTGCTGGCCTCAGCGGCGGCACCGGCGCGGCGGGCTGCTGCGGCGCCGCCGGCGGCGGCCGCTGAGTGAGTCACGAGTCACCCGGTTCGGTCGGCTCCGACTCCCGTCACTGGACAGCTTAACTCAAGTTAGGGGCTTTGAGTAAATGTGGACAGCCGCTGAGTGGTGAGCCTCCGGAGTCCGACGGTCGCGGCCCGGCGCCACGGCTCAGCGGCTCCGCGGCTTTTTGTTTGCCCGGGTGACTTTCAAGCCCTTTAGTACTCTGACTCTGTGAGTAAATAGCGATCGCGCGGAGTCGAGTGTACTCAAAGCTTTAAGTTAAAAATACGGTACCGGATGACAATCACGCCCACAGTGACACCGTGGCGGGCCGCCGGCGGGCGCCGGGTTCGGTCACGGTCGGACGGTCGATGCTGAGTCCGCCGGCCGAGTCCGGGCCGCCGGCGATCCCGTTGCCCCGGCCCCGCGGCCGCCGCAACCGGCCGGGCGGCTCACACTAAAAAGTTGAAAAGTAGTCTGTGATCTCTGGTTAACCTGGCCCTCCTCCTGTGAATCCCTGTGACACTCGCCTCCGAGTCGCCTAATTGGGAGTTGAAACAACGGGTGTCTTCCTGAAGGGGCACGGTGGTCAAGTACCCGTGGGGTTATACTAAATAAATGTAATGAAGGACCGGGTACATCTCGTCGTAGGTGTCATCGGCAGCCAGTGGGTGGGTACCGTCAAACTGAATAGAGTATGGAAGCGTTGTTATTTGTGGTCGTTCAATGGGCGGACGCATCTCGAGATACCTTGATGACTGATCTTAAGGAATCTCCTGCGAAAGAAGATTCTTTCGCAGATCTTGCGACTGACGGGGCCGTAACACATAAGGATTTTCAAACTTACAATGTTTTAGTAACAGTATATTGTTTTTGAAGAAAGAAATCATTTTTATTTATATCCCCGAACGAGTGTTCTTTCATGTAAGATCCCGGAGGGGACAGGCAATGGGTGGGTGGGTCATATACTGATTGACCGAGAGAAGGGTGGAAAAAGTTGGGTACGAACTGTTGAAAAGGGGGGTACTTGGGTAGGAAGTGGCTGGGAGAGGGGGTCAATCAAATTCATGGAGAGGATGGAGAGGTGCAAAGAAAGAGGGTGAGATAGGCTCTCAGATGCCATAGGCTGGTCCTAGGAATTCAGCATCCGTCCTAGCTCCTTATCGTTTTACTATATGACCCACACATATTTGAATTTTTAGCGAGGGTCATAGCAGCATACCGTAGCCAATGACTCTGGCTGGGTCCTAGGCAGGTTCTAGGCTGCCTCGGGACGTGTGAGGGAGATGACGTGAGATACCCCTGGTGTCAGGAAGGTATTGAGTAGGGGTAGTGGGATTAACTTGCTGGTAGCACAATACTTGGGGGGTACAACTTTGTGGAAAAGGGTGGGTACTTTGGGGAGATGAAGGTGGGTACTTGCATACGAATATTGGTATTGTAGGGAGGGGTACTGATATTTTGTTGGGTGGGTCTTCTCTAGAGGTCAATATGGGGAGGCCGGACAGTCGCATCGAATGAAGGCCAAAAAAGAGGGGTAGGGTGGGGTGTAATGGAGGGTGTAGGTAGTATAAGGACGGGGTCATTTCACGTAAATCATTGGGTGGGGTGAACGGGGAACGTCATATGGTTAGGAGTGGGTAGGGGTACTCATAGGGATGAACGAATGCGAATGCTTAGGAGCGGCAGGAATGTGGGAAGGGCGTCATGGGAGGAATAGAGAGGAGAAACGGTAGAGGAAGGGAAAGAAATTATTTTATCATATGAGAGAAGAGGATTTCCGATCAGATCAGGTCCAAGACGTTGAAGAGAAGCACGCAGGAATCAAATCTGCAAAGTCTGAACTTGGCACCAGTTGGCTGCGCGATACAGGAAGCAGGAATAGAGCAGCGGCAGAAAATCGAAGTCAACAGCACAGATGGAGATAAACTAGACATTATGTAAGCAGTGTTGGTCGGCCGATGTGCAATTATGAGGCGTCAAGAGGTGATGGCATTGTATCAGACCTGGAAACATGCGTTGAGGGAAAACATGGAGACACGTTCTGCCATCAGACTTGTGGGTGTTTTGATTGTTCTATAGATCAGATGATGTTGCATCATTGCAGAGTCGGCAGATAAAAAAGATAGTTAGGAGATGAAGACGCCTTGTTTGAGGGGATCTTCCAAACCATTTTGAACTATTTTGTACCGAACCGGCTCAAATTTGGTTGAACATCTGCACAGCGTGAAAGTCTTCACATTCGTTTCTGTTGTTGTTCAATCCGTATAGTGATAGTCCATATGACTCGCTAGTAATATCTACACAACATGAAGTTTTCACATTACTTGCTGTTCTTGTTCCATCCAGTCGGTGTGGTGTAGGATTGTTACAAAAACAGATGCCCATCATGATGTTTGTTCGTGTGAGAGACTGATGTGGTTTGGATCTTCAGCTTCCGGCAGGAAAATATGAGCGAGATTTTTCATGATTCTTTCAGAAGAAATGCGTCAGCACCCACTTTCCACCATGGTGTTGACATCTGCACCGAGTGCAAAGCGGAGATCCATGCATCGGAGGGACAGCAGGTGATGAGACGAGGAGGGGAGGGGAGGGGAGGGGAGGTCTAGGAGAGGTCTAAAGCATTGCGCTTCAGGTGGTCTTCGGGAATGACCTCAAGTTCTGCTCGGAGGGATGCCGATGCGTTTACTTTGTACTGTCCTCTTGTTGTATCCTCAGCCTTGTGACGCCCCTCCCAGTCAGGAGAGCACTCGAACGCGAACGGGGTGATTGAAGACGACGAGGACATGGCCCTGATAGGCAAAGGAGGATGTAATGACCTTGAGCTTGCTGTTTGAGTCAAGAGGCAGTCTCTCAACCTTGCTGTTTCGACTGCAGTTGAGAACCCTTGCCTCCACTGTGACGCCTACTGCCCTCACTTCGCCTCCATGAGCGTTGGGTTGGTGAAGAACAAGTGGGGATTCAACAGAGTGAGTGCTTTCTCCTCATCATCATTTCCTCCTCCTCCTCCTCCTCCTCCTCCTCATCATCATCATCATCGGAGGGGGAAGAGGGGGGACGACGATGATGGTTTTGCGTCAGGTCTTTCAGACTGTTCACTGCTTGCAGCACAAGGGAGGAGACAGATGTTTGTGTCCCCTCAAGTGCCGTGAGTTCGATGAAGAGCTGGAGCCTCTGAAGAGGAGCGTGTCGATGCTGCCAGTGATGCGTCTGGCCAAGGAGGAGGACATGTAAATGTTAAAGACCCTGAGATTGACGCAAGTGCGTGTGTACATATATGAAATACTTTGATTTAGATATACAGAAAGACACGTGAAATAGATGATGACTTGACATGCTTGAGAAGGAAGAGAAAGAGGGAGGGGATGATAACTTGACATGCCTGAGAAGGAAGAGAAAGAGGGAGGGGGACGAAGTCGATGACGTGGACGGAGCAAAGGGGAGGCGAGGAGATCATGTTTCACGTCATTCCTCCGCTCCCTGCTGATCCGATTCTTCAAACTCTCCAGCGACGATGACGCAGCTGCGATACTGATGTGAGAGGAGAAACGAGGAAGCAGCGAGGGAGAGAAGGAGAAGAGGAGGGCTGAAGTGAGGATGGTGCCGCAGACAAGCGCAAGCATGAGATGCAAGAAAGTAGAGCAGAGGAGAAAGAAGAAAAGAAGACGGTAGAAGAAGAGGAGCAGGAGAACAGGAATGAAGAGGAGAGCAGAGGAGAGGAGAAAGAAGATAGGAGACAAGAGGGTAAAAGAGGAAAAGAGCAGGAGAAAAGGAATGAAGGGGAAAGGAGAGAGGGGCAGAAAACGGAGAGAAGCGAAGAAGGGCAGGGCAAGTTCCAACCTGCCGCAGGTCAACCCGTTGGCATCATCTCTGATCTTGTAAGTGATGATGGTGGCGAGAAGGCTGGCAATGGCGCCTGGGAGGACATCACAGAGAGCACGATAGCATGAAGAGGGGAGGGGAGGAGAGGCGAAGGGAAGGGGAGGAGAGGAGATGGGAGGAAACGAGAGTGGGAGAGAGAGGGACGGGGAAGGGAGGAGAGGAGGAGGGGGAGGAGGAGAGGAATGGAAGAGGAGAGGGGAGAGGAAGTGGAGAGGAAGAGAAGAGGAGGGAAGGGGAGAAGAGGGGGAGGGAGGAGAAAGGATGAGAGGAGAGGGGAGGAAGACAAGAGGAGACGGGAGGCGAGGAGGGTCACCAGCAACGAAGCAAGCGCCGATACCCTTGGACACGTCGTTGGGGTCGATGTAGGAGTAGAGAGCTCCCGATACAAGGGTCCCCATGAGCCTTCCCGCAGCGTTGGACATGTAGTAGAAGCCAACGCTAGTGGCCACCTTGTTGCCTTCAGCATAGCGCACCACCTAGAAAAAGAGCTGGGTGAGGCATGGGAGAGGAGAGGAGAGGAGAGGAGAGGAGAGGAGAGGATGGGAGAGAGTGTGTATCACCAGGTAGGAGTGGATGGACGAGTTGATGGCAAAGATCAGTGCGAAGACAACAACCCGACAATCATCGTAGATAACATCTGCAGCCCAAGGTCATGAAACGACTTGCAAGGTCAGCTCCACACGTCAAGTCCTTCGGAAATGCAGAGATCAAGAACAACAACATCAACAACAACCATGGCGGCGGCGGCGGCAGCAGCAGCAGCACGAACCCCTCCTCCTCACCGGCTTGTACTCGTAATTCTGGAACTCAGGAGCGAACAGAGTGATCATCGCCATGATGAGAGGAGGCACAGTGTTGATGTAGCCCCACAGCACCTGACCCAAAGTCATCACCTTCCTCCCTCTATCTCGAGCGCTCACCTCTACCCACTTGTTCGGAGGAGACTGCTTGAGGGGGCGGAGAACTAGCTGCGGGGTGTAAGCTTGCATTTGACCGTAGAGGATGATGTAGATGGCCTGAAGGAGGGTCAGGAGAAGAGAAGATCTGTCCTCCCTGCTCCTTTCGTCTTTTCTCCTCTCTCGCCTCCGCCCCATCTCCACCCTGCTGTGCCCCTTCCCCCTTTCCTTCCCTCTTGCCTCCCCTCCTTCCTCCCTCGTCTACTTCCAGTACCACCTCTTCCTCGTTCTCTGGCTCCCATCCTGTTTCTCTCCTCGTCTTCCCGCACTTTCTCGTTCTTCTTTCCTCCTCTCTGACCTCCACGACAACCTTCTCATCCTCTCCTTCTTACCAGAAATGCTCCCACAGTCACCCTTGCCAGCCCCAGCCCTCCACAACCATAGTTGACATTCTGGCAGACACCTTGATCGCCATTCTGAAGGAAAGGGCAAAGTTTCACATCGTGACGACCTCGATTGCAGTCTCTCACCAGAATGCACTCGGTTCCTCCGCCACATGTCACATTTGCCGAACAGACAGCGTTGAGGCCTGAGAGTGAATCAACAAAGGATTCGTTTCTAAGGGTCCCATTAGGATAATTCGTGTTTCATGATTGACAAAATCCATCATCATCATCATCATCATCATCATCATCATCATCATCATCATCATCATCATCATCATCATCATCATCATCATCATCATCATCATCATCATCATCATCATCATCATCATCATCATCATCATCATCTACTCGGTCTTGACCAATCGTATCTTCCCCCTCTCCTCCTTCTCGCCCCTCCTCCTTTCTATCCTCCACATAATCTTACTCGAGCAAGCAGGAGCGCGGAGGTAGAACGGCAGAGGAACTTCAAACCACAAGTCCCTTGATGCAAAGAGGAAGAGACGGGCGAACGAGAGCCTGAGCCAGCGTGAGTTCAAACTCCATCTCCTGCTTCAACCAACCAGTTGAGATTGTGGTTGCCAGAGAAGAGTGCGTCCCTGAGATGTCGTATTTGTTATTTTCATTGTCACAGTCATCGTCATCGTCATCGTCATCATCGTGGCCTTCGTCGTCATCATCAACAAAAAACTTCTTTTCCTCTTCATCACCATCACCATCACCATCACCATCCCGCACTCCAGCATAACCAGCAACACATCTTCATCATCATGATCAACCTCAGGGTGACATTCTTTGTCTTTGCAGTCCCGAGGTTACTGTCAAGACCGATCTGCCCCCGAGTCAGCGTCAACAGAGGCTCCTCCTTCCTCCTCACAATCGCCCAGGGGTACGCGCACAAGATCATGAAGACGTTCACACCTGCTACTCCGTCACCCTCCTCCTCCTCCTCCCCCTCCCCCTCCCCCTCCCCCTCCTCCTCCTCCTCCTCCTCCTGACCTAGTGCCAAGTAAAAGCCCCACTCGTTGCTGGCACCCAAACATGCCGCACCTGTGCGAACAGCGATCAGCGAAGGGAGAGAGAAGGGGAAGAGGAAGGGAAAGGGAAGGAGGAGGCATAAGCAGGACGAGGTAAGCAAGTAAAGTGCTGAAAACGAGGACAAGGAGAGCGAGGGCAACAGAGGAGTTGGAGGAGGAGGTGGTGGAGAAGGAGATAGAAGGTGGTGGTGGTGGTGGTGGTGGTGGAGGTGGAGGAGGAGGAAATGACAATCTTTTCACCGATGAAGTATCCAACGCCCTTGAGGGAATTCTTCCAACCCGTGATGTAGGAGACGAGCTTGAACAGAGAGCCCTGGGCATGATCAGCATTCGCTCGAGTCCACTAGCTCGCTCCTCCCACCTGCTTCTCCTCCGGTGTCACAAGCTTTGTGACCGTTTTCCCACCTGCTCATGTCGTCAGTATCGCAATCATCACTTGCTCAGTCCATGTCCTCTTCTCCTTCATCGCTCTCATCTCGCTCTTCACTTCTTCTCATCTTCTCCACCTCATCCACCACAAGACACAACTACAACTCTACCGAGTTTGGTCAAATCCTTGGCGATCCCACAGAGCATTTGCGCGATGGTCACATAGACTGAAGAGGACACAACAGTCAGCTCAAGTAGTCTGAGAGATCAGCAGCCATACTGATTGCCGTCGTCTTGCTCCAACTGTTCTGTTGCATCAGCAAAGAAAAGATAGTCAGTGACGATCCGAGATGAAGATGACATCTACACACTTGCCACCCAAACAGCATCCCCAACCCCATCAGCTGCAGCGTCAGCCCCACGAGGAGGGTCCACTTGATCCCCCACTGTACGAGAAGAAGTCAGGAGCAGCGCTTGCAGGAAAGGCTGTCAAGGGGCAACAGCAACATCGGACGGAGAAAGCAGCGTGAGGGAGGGGGGAGGGGGTGGGGCCGCGAGGGGAAAGTGTGATCTGATGAGAAAGAGGAAGGATGGAGGTAAGAAGGGAAGGTGGGAAGATGGGAGGGTTAGGAAAGATGAGCGGGTAGAAGGGAGGGAGGTGGGGAGGGAGGGAGGGAGGGAGGGAGGGAGGGAGGTCGTATTGGGAAGGAGAGGATGAGGGAGAGGGGAAGGAGGGTGAGTAAAGAGAGAAGGGAAGAGGCTAGTTACCCTTGCTCCTGCTATCCCTGCTAAAAGGTTCGTGGCCACTCCAGCCGTCTCATAGAGGGTGAACATGACTGTAGCTCATGATTACATACATCTCATGCGGCCATGCGCGTCAACACAATCAAACACAACACAACATGATCCCCTTGCAACATGTCGTGTGCTTGAAATCATCGAGGGATACATCACAATGTAGAGTTGACATTGTCAGACGCAGTCATCATCGTCATAACGATCATCATCGTCGTAACGATCATCATCGTCATAACGAGCATCATCGTCATAACGAGCATCATCGTCATAACGAGCATCATCGTCATAACGATCATCATCGTCATAACGAGCATCATCGTCATAACGAGCATCATCGTCATAACGAGCATCATCGTCATAACGAGCATCATCGTCATAACGAGCATCATCGTCATAACGATCATCATCGTCATAACGAGCATCATCGTCATAACGAGCATCATCGTCATAACGAGCATCATCGTCATAACGAGCATCATCGTCATAACGATCATCATCGTCATAACGAGCATCATCGTCATAACGATCATCATCGTCATAACGAGCATCATCGTCATAACGAGCATCATCGTCATAACGAGCATCATCGTCATAACGAGCATCATACAGCGCAAACAATCCTCCTCACCTGCTACTTCCATCGCCGTGAACTTCTTGGTATAGGCATAGAGCAAGACAATCATCCTCACAGACCCGTCCGTCATGGTGTAGAGAAGGTACGAGACTGAGATGATGGCGAAAGGAAGCAGCGCCTTCCTCTGATTCTTCTTCTCCTCCGCCTTCTTATCTAAGTCAACCACCTCCACATCAACGTGCTGCTCCCCGTCCTTCCTGTTTGCCTCCTCCTTCCCTTCCTCCTTCCCTTCCTCCTTCCCCTTCTCCTTCCCCTCCTGCTGCTGCATCGAGTTCTCTGTGGAGGGATACTCTTGCTGTGTCGACGGCACATAGTGACTTGGGATGGTCACGTCATCGTCTTGGTTCTCATCACCGGGCATCGCTGTCAATCTGCCAGCAAGTTTCATCAGTCTCACAGTTCCAACTTCCATCTCCATCTCCCCGCGCCATGGGATTCTTTGGATGCCTCTGTCGAGTAGACCCAATCCTCAAACATTCATGTCCGATTCCATCACAATGATCCCTTCCTGTATCGCCCGCTCCTCTCTCAACCTTTGCCAAGTGGCATACCTTCCTCAACTCCGTGTCTTGGTGCACCTGTTTAACCCTGTCTCAGACCTCTCTACCTCTCTACCTCTCCCTCTGTTTGCACCGATCCCCCCCTCCACTCCACTCCTCCTCTTCCTTCGTTCTCCCTCCCCTCCCCTCCCCTCCCCTCCCCTCCCCTCCCCTCCCCTCCCCTCCCCTCCTCGCCATCCCATCCCCGCCCCTCGTGTCCTCGACTCCTTCCCTTTCGATGTTCATTGCATCCCTTTGTACGACCCACCCCTACCCCCTTTTCTAGTACCCCTATCCCTCTGCTACCTTTCCCCTTCATCACCCCACCCCCCTATCTGCTTCATCACGTGGTACTGACCTTCCTTTAGATGTATACCCCCTTCGCGTCCCCTCTATTTGCTCACCACCCCTCGCACACTTCCACCGGAACGATTCGAAATCTTCAGCCACCGGTCCTTTGTCAGCTTATCACCCCCCCCCACCCTGTACAAATCGTACCCCCTACCTCCTGTCATCCAGCCCCCCCCCCTGGTACAAACATTTAGATTGATCACGGACAAGACCACCCTACCCACCCATCCCATCACCAACGAGACATGAAAAGACTCTTTTTCGATCGATTCTATGTCTACGTCTCGTCGGCATGCTCTACGCCCCTTTGATGCTTCAAGTCACTAGTTGATTTTCAGTAAAGCGCCAGCCGGGCCCGTCGTTTGGCCGGGAATCCTGCCGGGCCGGGCCGACCCCGGCTCTCAGTGGTAGTGCCTCATTGTGGCGGCCACTGAGGCCCTGCTGCCCCTGCACTGAGAGCTTTGGACGGTTGCTGAGCCTCGGCACCACACTCCCAGTGAGGTGACCGGCCCGCCGGGCCGGTAGCGGAGCCCGGCTGGCCGGGCCGTTCTCCCGGAGTCCAGAAGGTCCGCCGACTCCCGCGGGGAGGCCGCATAGTGGCACGGTCACTGAAATCGACGTCACAGTCATATCTGGAAATAAGTGAGTTTTAATATAATAAGTCATTTTTAAAGTACCCCACCCTGTTGAGGGGTTCTCAAGCGCCTCCCCCCAGGACCCCCTTCCTCCGCCAACATCGACAGACGTCCCGCGGCAGCATGGTGCGAGTAGGGATCAATGGCTTCGGAAGGATCGGGAGGCTGACCATGAGGGCAGCCTGGGACATGAAGGAACTGGAGATCGTGAGTCCTGCTGTGCCCCTGCTGCTCGGCGCCATGTTGTTAGTGTTCCAACCGTCGTAGACTCAACTTCTCGATCGATCCTCTTGGGGGGGGGCTGCACAGCTCTCCTCTTCATCCTCTCCCCTCCGTTCTTTGCCGTCATCGTGCTAGCTATCTCATATGCTTCTCTTTCGTCCTGCACGCATCGCACTCTCCTCTGCTCTTCTCCTTCTACGAGCTCTTCCTGCAAATGCGCGTTCATGGCTTTATGTTCGCAGGTTCATGTCAACGAGATCAAGGGAGGAGCGAAGACATCTGCCTACATGCTCCAGTTCGACTCTGTTCATGGCCGATGGAATCACGAATGCCGGGAGGCTGCCGATGGCAAGTCCTTCACCGTCGACGGCAAAGTGGTAAGGAGGAGCGTGCGAGGAGGAGGAGCGTGCGAGGGGGGAGGGGGGAGGGGGGGGCATCTGAGTGACTCGCTGTTTTCCTCCTCCTACCCAAGATCACCTTCTCGGAATCGCCCACCATCGAGGGTGTTCCATGGAAGGAGCTCGGCGTCGAGCTCGTGCTCGAGTGCACTGGGACTTTTCTCAGCACCAAAGTCCTGCAGCCATACCTCGACTGCGGGGTCAAGCGGGTGGTGGTGAGGTAAGTGGAGATGTGGCAGTGGGCGGTTAAAAGGGCTGACGTCAAGTGTCAAAGTGCTCCTGTGAAGGAACCGTCCGTCCTCAATGTTGTGATGGGAGTCAACGACGACAAGCTGACCAAGGACCATGTCATCTGTAACCCCCGCCGCTGCTCCCGTCCTTGTCTGAACATGTCCCTACCCGCCAGGCACGGCAGCGTCGTGCACTACCAACTGCCTTGCTCCTGTTGTGAAGGTTGTGGAGCTGGTGAGAGGAGGAGGAAGGGAGGAGGTGAGATGTGGCCTTCAGGTCATCCACGAGAAGATCGGAATCGAGAAGGGGATGATCACTACGGTCCACAACGTCACCGGGACCCAAACCCTGGTAGATATGTGCGACACGGGCAAGAAGCAGGTTGAATTTCCCCCCTCCATTCCATTCTACTTCCGGCATCCCCTCTCCCTCCTCCTCCCTCTCCCTCCTCCTCCCTCCTTCCTTCTCCCCTCCTTCCTCCCTCCTCCTCCTCCTCCTCCTCCTTCTCGCTCCACTCCCTCCTCTCTTCAGCTGCCATCCTCCTCACCTGGTCCCTTAGGACCTTCGGAGAGGAAGATCAGGCATGGTCAACCTGTCCCCACCTCCACAGGCTCTGCTACGGCGATCGCTGAGGTCTGGGCTCGGCTCTTGAGGACCAGGCCTGAAGCCATGCCCAGGTGTTCCCCGAGCTGAAGGGGAAGCTCAACGGGCTGGCAGTCAGAGTCCCCTTGTGCAACGGCTCCATCACAGGTGGGAAACATTAGCTGGTGGCATGCTCGTGACGTGCAGGGCGCAGACTGTGTCTTCGATGTTGCCAGGGATACGACGGTGGAGGAGGTGAATCGTCTCCTGAAGGAGGCCTCCGAGACTGCGCCCCTCAAGGTGGGAGGAAGATGAGGAGGAGGAGGAGGAGGAGGAGGAGAAGTGCGCAGAGGTAGAGTGGGAAGACAGTGAGGAGAGTGAGAGGAGGAGGATGGGAGGCACCAGGTGTGATCGAGTATTTCTCACGGTCTGTAGGGCATCCTTGGGTTCGAGGAACGCCCGCTGGTCTCGACTGACTACATCAACGACGATCGCTCGTCCATCGTTGACGCCGCCTGCACCATGGTGGTACAAGGCAAGATGGTAAAGATCTACGCCTGGTACGACAACGAGTGGGGATACTCCAAGAGAATGGCGGACCTTGCCCAGAAGGTGAAGTGCTGGTACTGCTTCAGTCCCTGTGCTGACTGTTGCACGTCAGGTGGCAAAAGATTACCTTGGAGCCTGAAAATCGATTTGGTTGTGGCAGACCGGCTGGTGAAGCTAGTCAATAAAATCCGAGCCATTCAATATCGACGTGTTTGCTAAAAGACGCCGCGACTTGTTTTGGCATGTATAAGCTAGTCACAATGCACATTTCGCACCAGCGGCAGAGTCTTAGTGACTGGTTGAACCTATACTTGGCATACAGTGACTATAGTAGCGGGTACTGCTTCAGTAGCAGAATATCCCTTACTCCTTGTGCCTAGCTCGTATTCTTATCGGAAGTCCTTCACCTTCATGAGCAGCCCTTACGGCCAGCACATCAAAGTCGCAACAGGCAGAGGGATGCAGAAACCCTCACACGAGCCCCGCTGACGAGATCGCTTGCACCCTGACGCTGTCCTTCGGCCAAGTCCTCAGTCTCGCATCGCTCTGAAGAAGAGGAGCAGGGTGAGAAGGTTCCGTCAGTGCGGTGCTTTCTACTGAGCTCACCTCGGCAGGGACGAGGTCGAAGCGGTCTTGAAAGCCTATGGAGCACGTGGAGATTGTATCGGTCTCACCCCACAACACCTGCAGGAATGTCAGAAAGCACAAGGCAAGTTCACCTCAGCTTTCAACCTGACAAGAAGCCCCGAGATGGCTGCCCCGAAGACTGATGGGTAGAGTCCTCTTGGAGCCTGCCAGGATAGACAGAACTTTGCCGACTTTCTGCCCAGAGTATGCTTGCACCATGCCCTGCTCTTGGAAAAATCTTCTTGCTTGCCTGCACGCGAACACGATGCGTCACATTTCAACAGCAGCGAACGAGCTATTTACCTTGACAGCACCACCTCCATGCCAACATACGGTTGCACATCTCTTCCTACAAGCACCTCTCCATTCCCTCGTCTCCAAACTGTGAGAGTTTCAACAATGAAACCAAGAGCATGAAAGACGCTACACAGCACCTGGTCCGTCAACGTACTCCAGAAAATCCGGTGCTGTGTATGACTTTGAAACCTCACGAAGAGCCCAAGGTTCCTCCGAAGATTTCAGACGCGAAGCTGTATCCTCCTCTTTGTTCGACATGAGAAGTGGAGTCGAGGCCTGGAGCCTGTCCTTCTTGGGGATTTTCAAATTTCCCCGGTACAAGCTGCCAAATGCCTTGTTGCTGAAAACTTGATGGTGAGAATAATGAGCTTTGGTCCCTTTCTGAGCCATGAAGTGAACTCGAACGTGATCTGCTGCGCTTTCCTCCAAGGTTCCTGCAATGAAGTCAAGGGATGAAAAGGATGGAGAGGCATGCCGTGAGTGCTTGTCCAGAGGAGGACCTCTTCATGCGATGTTGATTGGTCCTTCACAATGTCGTGGGGCAACGGTACAATCAGCGTTGCCCTAGCATACTCCTCGGCCTTGGTTTGTTGTGAAGAAATGATTTTGAGATACAAGGAGACAACAAGAGTCTCTTGATTTGTTCTCTACAGGACGGATTTTCATCAGGATACAAGGTTAGCAATGAGGTAGACATACCAGCTCAAACACGAACTCTTCTCCTCTGCCATGATTCCATTGAACAATTTCGGCATTTTTCTTGTATGACGTAACTTTCACTGTCTTGGAAATAGGCGACTCGACACCAACAGCTACATAGTTGTTTGCGTCCAAGTCTTTGAGAACCGTTCTCAGCACCGCCTCTTTCACACAGACCTTCAAAACAAAGCGCGAAGCATCTTCGATCAAGCTGTTGAACACTTGGACCCTTAAGATGACGCATGTATAAAGACCATCCTCTCCAACAACAAACTGGTCATCCTGCGCTGATCCCACCTTCTTGAAATACATATGCGCGGTTCCGCTCCATCCATTCGGTGCTGACAACACAGATCCAACATTGGCCATTGAAAACGCACAAGTTCCAAGAACAGAGGGTCCAGCTGCAGAGCGAAGAAGCAATGAAAACACGAGCGGACGGGCTCCATGTGTGCAATCACTCACTAGAAAAGAGTGAACAACACATGAAGAACCCTGCTCGGGTAACCGTGAAATCCAAAGAGAATTGTCATATTCATACACACAAGACAATTCAAGAGAATGACAAGAAACCAACGAAGGAAAATGAAAAAATGAAACATATGATAACTCCAGCCGCCGCCCTCCCTTCGCCTCCTCCGACGGCTCCGGCGGATAGAAAAGTGACTCCCCGGCAAGCACCTTGCACTTGAGCGTGACCACCGTCCGCTTCTTGTCCTGCCCTACTACCGCCTTCCCCTCCCGCGATACCTCCAGCGTGCACTCCCCCTCCCACCCCACGTCCGCCCGTACTACCCGGCTCATCAGGCTCCCCTCCAGCTCTGCCTCCCCGATCTCGTCGTTGTTCCCTACCCGGTCCCAGTCTACCAGCCGTACCCGTAGCCCCCCGACCCCCTGCCCTACGTCCCGTACCCCGAAGCTGAAGCTCTCCTGCCAGTCTGCCGAGTAGGAGTTCTTCACCACGCTCGTTTGCTCCTCCTGCCCCTCGAACTCCACCACGCAGAAAGGATCGCAGCTCCCCATCATGTCCATCTTCGGAAGGTGCCGCGTCGACACGACCGTTACCTCCAGCCGCCGCCCTCCCTTCGCCTCCTCCGACGGCTCCGGCGGATAGTAGAGCGACTCCCCCGCAAGCACCTTGCACTTGAGCGTGACCACCGTCCGCTTCTTGTCCTGCCCTACTACCGCCTTCCCCTCCCGCGATACCTCCAGCGTGCACTCCCCCTCCCACCCCACGTCCGCCCGTACTACCCGGCTCATCAGGCTCCCCTCCAGCTCTGCCTCCCCGATCTCGTCGTTGTTCCCTACCCGGTCCCAGTCTACCAGCCGTACCCGTAGCCCCCCGACCCCCTGCCCTACGTCCCGTACCCCGAAGCTGAAGCTCTCCTGCCAGTCTGCCGAGTAGGAGTTCTTCACCACGCTCGTCTGCTCCTCCTGCCCCTCGAACTCCACCACGCAGAAAGGATCGCAGCTCCCCATCATGTCCATCTTCGGAAGGTGCCGCGTCGACACGACCGTTACCTCCAGCCGCCGCCCTCCCTTCGCCTCCTCCGACGGCTCCGGCGGGTTCAACACCAGAGCTTCGTCTAGCACCTTGCACTTGAGCGTGACCACCGTCCGCTTCTTGTCCTGCCCTACTACCGCCTTCCCCTCCCGCGATACCTCCAGCGTGCACTCCCCCTCCCACCCCACGTCCGCCCGTACTACCCGGCTCATCAGGCTCCCCTCCAGCTCTGCCTCCCCGATCTCGTCGTTGTTCCCTACCCGGTCCCAGTCTACCAGCCGTACCCGTAGCCCCCCGACCCCCTGCCCTACGTCCCGTACCCCGAAGCTGAAGCTCTCCTGCCAGTCTGCCGAGTAGGAGTTCTTCACCACGCTCGTCTGCTCCTCCTGCCCCTCGAACTCCACCACGCAGAAAGGATCGCAGCTCCCCATCATGTCCATCTTCGGAAGGTGTCTTGCTGAGATAATTGTAATTTCAAGTTTCCTGTTCGGGTTTGGGTTATCTTGCGGCTCGGGAGGAATCATGTCTTTCCTTTCTGCATTGTCAGTTTTTGTTTCCTTTCTTCGGAAGAAATTCATCTTCGTTTGTCGAACAGCGCTTCGTTCCTCTTACAACATGCCTGTCATTCTCTCAAGTTTACCGCGATGGTTCTTGCATACCGTGTCCTGTCTTGTTGCTTTTTCATCCTATCTACCAGAATCTCTCCTGCATCTTATCTACCACGATCACTCCTGCATCTTATGTACAACGCTCTCTCGCCCGGCCTTCTCCCCATGCTGCCTGTCTCTCCTCCCCACAAACCGAAACTTTCCCGCCTACGGCGGCACTCGGAGCCGGCCCGGCGGACCGTACGGTACGACTCTTGAGACTTCAAGTCTTTACTCAAAGTTAAGTTAAAAATCAGTACGAGGACAATCAGGAGAGTCGAGGAGGCTTGGCCCTGACACTGTAGTCACGCCCCGGTCGGGTGATCAGGCTCACGTACCCACTTCTTTACTCAAAGTTAAGTTAAAAATCAGTACGAGGACAATCAGGACACTGTCGCTCACTTAGTACTAGCATCACTGATCATCGCGGCCAACGGTCACTGAGTCACCACGTTACACTGCAGTGCGTGCTGATTTTCCATGGCAACTTAACTTTGACGGTCACGTACTAAACGGCGAGCCTAGGCTCTGGCAGTTGTTTCGTCCGTGATTGTCCGTAGTACGGCCGGGCTCCCGGAGTCCGAGGCTCCCCCGGGGCCCGCCGGGGACTCGGACCGCACTGCAAGTTCCGCCGGCCCGGGGGGCTGAGCCCGAGCCCGACCGTCTCGGCATCCGAGTCCCCGGCGGGCCCGGGGAGCCTCGGACTCCGGGAGCCCGGGCGTCAAAAACGGGCCAGGATTTAGACCTGCCACTGAGCTACGGTAGCCTAGCCCGCCCGGGCCCGGCCGACTCTGCGGCGGCGGCCCCCGGGCCCGGCCCGGCCGCCGCCGCCAGCCGACTACCGTTCTTGTATCCCGGTCCGATGACTCACTGTGATCTCAGCCGCCACGAGATGGGATGAGGGACAAGCATGCTCTTCTCACCCCCTTCTGTGACCTCCATGATGATTTGACTACCCACCCTTAATTATATACCACCCCTGAAGTTTCACATCCTTACAGCCACTTCTGAAATTGGCAACACCGGTGGTTTATAATTTGAACATAAAGTACCCCGTGTCTGATCACACTGACACCCCCCTTACACAAGATCAGACTACCTACCCTGGAGGAAACATGAATTATATCCCCCCACCCCCCTTTTTCGTCCTCCTCTCCGCTCTCTTCCCAGAGGCCGCCGCGGGAATGGTTCTGCTGATCCGTTGCCTGCTGCTCAAGCAGGAGACTGCAGTCGCCAAGTTTTGAACCTCCTCGCACCTTCACTCTCTCCAGCCTCCTCCTCCCTCACTGTTCCTCTCCTCTGTTTCCTCGTCGAAATCTCACTCACTGTTAAATCCCTTCCATCGTGGTTGGGTCGCATCGATCCCGCGCCTGGTGGGAAGGGGCTGGCAGGGGAAGCACAGCACAGCTGGAGCAAGAACCAACCTTGAATTCCCATCATGATCGCTCCATCAATTAACTCTAGCTGATCTTTCTTGGCATCCGACCTCTGGGGACTCATAAGGCATGTCCACTTTGTTTTTCGAGCCTCGGCCATTGCAGCTGCTGCCGCATGTGCTGGTTGTTGTGATGGCGCTCATGAGCATTCCAGAAAGTGTGCCTGGACTATCACATGCTGGTCAAGGCATGGATTGGTGGAGATCTCTGGACGCAAAGCAGTTTGGTTCAAATCATATCCCCTCAGAGTTGAAGCTCGCGCATTGCAAAGGCGAAACCCCTGAAGGTTCAGACGTCGCCTGTAAACCCAAGGCACTACAGTATCACAACATCAAGAGCATCTTGAGATGTTTGAACCCAAGATTGAAGCTTCGAGGAGGCCTTGATCAAGGTGATTTGATATTGCCATCCCGCTCCCCCTTTGTTGAAAAAGTGTGCATGGCAGATCCGTTAAGCAAACGGCAGCGAGTCAAGACAGCCGGTGATTTCGGAGACATCGTGGGGGAGGGGGAGGAGAAGCAAACAAGAGGGGGGGATGAAGCTGCAAGAAATGAAGAGCTTGTCTCAGGGTCTCATGACCTCGATGCGTCTGGTGACAATCAGAATGGTTCCGTTAAGGGCGAAGGGATTCGTGGAGGCGAGAGCTCTGTTGGCGCTGCGATGTCAGTGCCGAGTATGGATGGGGACCCAATGAGTGGAGTGACTAAGGATGGATGTGGAATGGAGTTTCTGATCGATCGCGTTAAGAAGCTGTCAACAGCAGCAGTGAAGCTACGTCGGCAGGAGAAAGAGAATGCGTTTGTCTCAGACAAGCAGAAGATGCAACTGGAAGAGGAGAAGTTACGGCTAGATCATGAGATGGATGGTTGTGTGTCTGCATTCAAGGTCAGGATGATGGAGATGCTGAACTGGAGGAACACTGCTCACGGTACTTCGACTCCTCCTGATCACTCAAGGGGAGGGTTTGCGTGCGTACTTCTAGACAAGGAGTATAAGGTCGCCTACCGCCTAGAGCCCATGAAGAATCAGGTTGCTTGCAAACATGAGATGCTTCTCACCTCCTGAGTGTTGAGTTCTTAGGTGGACGCAGCAGCATGGTTGGCGTTCCACATGGTTCTGGAGATGTTTGGTGTGCGAGCTGCTCGATCGGTTGCTACGGATCGCCCCGCAGCGGTGATGGGAGCTGACCGAGCAATGGCTACCAACTATTCTCATGAAAGTTGGAACGACACTGCAGTTGTGAAGTGTTACCAAGAGCCGACACTACAGGTGTCAGCGCTTACCGTTTTCCTTCGTGTACTGTTTCATGTTTTGGCTCATGCACAACCAGGCTTTCTCGAAGCATGTCCTTAAGCACAGGAACCGACTTCTTCGAAGGTTGCGTGCTTCCAGCCTTGCAAATTCCGTTGCTGATGCCTGCTGTAGGTCAACAGGACATCGAGGAGGTGTCGTGTGTGCAGGAACAGAGGAAGATCGGACAGAATCAAAGATCTTGACACCACGAGCATGGTTTTGGCATCGCATTGACGTGCCAGTGCTGCCAGAGAAGGAAAATGACACCATAACAGATGCAGACAGGTTTGCATTCTTTTCGATTCCTGGATCAACACTCAAGCTTGACAAAAATCTAGGACGCGGAGGGTTCGCGGGAGGGAGTTAGCAGATGTACTGTGTGGACAAGAAGGAGGAGGAGAAGTCAAGAATCCCGGTGGAGAAACTCGAGCTGTCCGTTTGTTATGCACTGTCTTCGATCTTGGATCGTCAGATCTCGCTTCCCTGTCGCGGTCTGAATGGCAATCGGGAGCTCCGGAAGATATCCCTGTCCGTGTGGTACACGATGTTGGCCAGGCGCTCAGGTGGCGCATTGAAGGGCAAGGATTTCCTATGTCACTTAACTTGTCAATGGCAGATGTCTGCATGCCTGTGGTGTGGCGCATGGTGATGTCAAGATGGCAAACGTGATGAAGATCGGCGAGAACTTCTGGCTGGGAGACTTGCCGGCCCTAACGAGAGCGACGACGAAAATGCTGACAAACGACCCGCTGTCGAGCACTTCGCTGATCTCTGGCAAGAGAATGATGTGTAACGACATGTGGGGGCTGGGGCTCATCACTATCTCCCTCCTCGAGGTTTGCTGGAGGGAGGAGGACATTGGTTGCTTACAGTGTGGAAGGGCTGCGGGCCGTTCAAGAGGACGTGCGAGAAGTTCAAGAGGATCCTGCCACCTCAGGTCCTTGCGATACATGTTGGCAGCCCTGCCCTCCTCACCCTTCCTCTCAGAACTCTGGTCCCCTCTGGATCATCTTCGCCGCGGGGTTCCTTCATACTTTGGCGTACCTGGTGAGCTGCCGTAGGAGTGGAGGGGACGGAGACTCTGACCCGAATCTACTTCCCTTGTCCGTCAGGTTCCGGAGGAAGAGAAGCTCACTGAAGCTGCTCGTTCTGTCCGCCAGCTCATTCAAGCTCCTTCTGGTGAAGCCTGACGTGTCGCCTCCGCTCTCCCATGACGTTGCTTGACCCCAGGGAGGAAGATGATCAAAGTGATATCGAGAGAGTATAGGGAGGTATGCAGATATGAAGGAGAGCAAGCAGCTCGGCTCGTGCTGTCTCATCCAGCGGCTCCTCAGGTCTCCTCGCTGTCTCTCTCTGCCCCCCCTACCCCCTTTCCCTCCAATCGCCCCCTTTTCTTTCATTTACCTCATCGACAGGTTTGGAAGCAACTCGCCTACTGTCTCGACGTTTCCAATGTCGCTCGCAATGCGCTCGCCATGCCGCTCCCGGGGGAACCTGAGATGGAAGGGGAAAGTGAGGAAGAGTTAGAAGAGGCGGACTTGCAGTGGTGAAGGGACGAAGACTGTTTTCTTGTCAAGTGTTAGATTTTTTCTCTTGCTCATCACCTTTCATGAGCTGGATGATCCCTACAGCCCACTGGCACCCAGCCCCACCCTTCCTTTGCCTTCCACTGACTTCTTCCTTCCTCCTCTCTTCCTCCGTTCCTCTGATGAACAATCAACTTTCAATGAATGTTACATAGTCAAGGCTACAATGGAAACTCTGAGTATGCAGATCACGGGGTTCGAGATAACGCGCGGCATTTCTCCCCTTTTTCACTTCCCTCTTCCTCCTCTTGTATCAGACGAACCTTCCTTGTCCTCCCTCCCCTTTCTCGCCCTCTTGCTCCTAGAGTTTAATGTACAGCACTCCTTGCGGTCTGTCAGCTTGCGACTCAATCTTTCGTTGGCGTCGGCTTGATGGTCAGGCTCGAAGCGTAGTAAGGATCCTCCTCCAGCTGTTGAGCAAAGGACGGAGCAGCTAGCGAACCTCCGACCCTGAGGCGCAAGACAGGGAGAGTCAGATGCGAACGAGGAGGGAGAAAGAGCAAGGGGAGAGAGAGGGGTAGAGGAGTAAGGGGAAAGTGAGTGAGTGAGCCAGTGAGCCAGTGAGGGAACGAGGGGTGAGCGAGTGGGTGGAAGAGTGAGCGAGTGAAGTGCATGAGAAGGGTAGGCTGGAAAAGGCGAAGGCAAGGTTGGAAGCACATCACCTGGGCTCGTTCCTCGACCACCTCCTGTAGTCCTCAGCGACGAGCTGCCCGAACCTCGGGAGGATGGTGGAGGAAGCAGCCTTGAGTACCAGCCCGCACGCCTGGCGGAGAAGAAACCCGGGGAGGAGGGAGAGAGGAGGAGGGAAGGTGATGGCAACATCGACTTCGGCAGAGAGGTCGAGCTGGCCCTGCGATGAAGCATCCTTGCCCTCCTTCCACTTGATCAGGGTCTTGAACCCCATCTGCAGATCAGCTTTCTCGATGGACTCGGTGAAGTTAGGGGGGATGTTGGGAGGAGCCATGGACATGTTGGCAGCGTTTGCAGGCGCCTGAAGAATCCGCACGTGAGCGAGTGGAAAGGCGGGGGGGAGGGGAGAGGAGGGGAGGGGAGGGGAGGGGAGAGAGGGAGGGAGGGAGGGATGAAGGGGATGAATCGAGTGAGTTAGGGCGTCGCAATCGAGGAGGGTAGAGGAGGAGGGAGCAAATGGAGGAGGACGGGGCGGGAAAAAAAGGGAAGGTGAGGTGAAGGGAGATCGGACCGGGGAGGCGTCCTCCTCCGCCGTCGATGCTCTCAGACGAGCTCCGCAAGCCTCGAGTCTCAGCTGCTGCTTCTTCTTGTCGACGTGCACGCTCACGTCACATGTTGCCGTGAGAGGAAGCTGAAGGGGAGGGAATCAGCATTGAGCAGGGCGATGAGAGGAGGAGTACCTGCATCATGGGCTTGAGGGGGAGGGTGAACCTGTACTTGACATCATCCGGGTTGCTTCCATCATCCAGCCTCTGGATGTAGTTGTCGTCCAGAGTGATCCACTGCTCGGCAGGGAGCGTCATGTATCTGCAAGAGCATCGGTGAATACGAGGTTCAGCACAGCAGCCATGTCACACTCACGTCCCCAAGGTCACGTTCTCAGCGACGTCGTTATCTTCAACCTTGCACATCGACTTGACTTGCGTCTTGAACTCAACCCTCTTGATCTTCTTGCTCGTCTTCGCCTTCTCCAGCACGCTCTTCAGCATCGCTTCCTGGGCCTTGGACATGGGCGGAGGGCTCTGGGGGAGGAGGATCAGCAGCAAGAGCGCAGGGGGTGCGTGCTCACCTGGAAACGAGGGATTTCATCCTGCCTGTAGCCAGAGTTCTTGTCCTCCATCTTCATGGATGAGCAGCCGCCGCGGGCCGTCCGCATGACGCGCAGGGATCCATGGAGAGTCCCAGACGGAGCCGAGGGGATCGCAGAGTATGCGGGGGTCTGGCGATGCGGGAGGGCCCGCAGGCAGGAGGGAGACTGGAGGGAGAGGAAAGAGAAGGAGGAGGCGGGGAGGAGGAGGAGGAGGCAGGCGGAGAGGATGGGGGAATACGATCGCGCCATGGCCTCCCCTGCCAACGATGAGGTGGGTGGAGTATGAGGGGGAAGATTTTGAAGCTGAGGGGGATGAGTACGTGGAAGCTTTTCGAATGCACGAGTAGGAGGGAGGGAGGGAGGGAGGGAGGGAGGGAGACAGGGAGGGAGGGAGGGAGGGAGGGAGGGAGGGAGGGAGGGAGGGAGGGAGACAGGGAGGGAGGGAGAAGCAGATGGAGGGAGAGCTTCAGACTTGATGTCTTTAAAGGTGTCTGACATTTCTATGTTCTAGCTTCTTCGAGGCATGGCGGACGACCTCAAGGAACCAACGCAAGCCGACGGAGGGGAAGCTCCAGTCTTCAAGAAGAAGCCAAGGCGAGGTTGCATCCGAAGGAAGGAGAGAAGCAGCGGAGACGAGGAGGAGCCGGAGGAGCCGGTGGCCAACATTAGATCAGCGATCGAGGAGACCAAGTTGGAGCAGAGACTGAGGAGCGGGAGGTCGGGGGTAGATGTGGACAAGTTAGCCAAGGTCTACGACCCTTTGAAGAAGAATCAGATCGAAACCTTCGTCGAGCAAACGCCTGCCAGCATGCTCGACAGTCAGTTCAGCACGGAGGACTCTGCAGAGCCCGAGCTCGGCATGCTCGAGAAGCAGCTGCACAAGTACATCGATGAGAGACTCAAGGGATCATCTGAGGGAGGGGAGGGAGAGACGAAGAGGCTTTCCGCCGAGGACGAGCTCTACGTGATACCCGAGGAGTATCGGGTCAAGTCAAAGACCAGGCAGCTAGGGGACGCAGCTGAGACTTGGCTAACGGGGATAGTGGAGGTGGAGCTCCCTTTGGAAGAGAAGCTCAAGAACATTGAAGAGACGGAGAAGGCGAAGAAGAAGATCCTGGAGGAGAGGATCAACGGAGTGCGCCAGTCTACGTTCGTGGTGGATACGGCATCTGAGAAGGGATACATGAGGATGGAGGGAGAGATGAGGAAGGGAAAGAAGGTCATGGCCAAGCAGAACATCCCTCTGATCAGCAAGGAGGCAGAGGCGGTCGGTGGGGTCGGGAACTTCAACGCCAACTACATCAAGAGGAACGGCAAGGAGAGGGAGGGGCGACCAGCGGCAGCCAGTGAAGTCAAGAGGCCCGATTTGTCCTCGGACGACCTCGTAATGGAGAGGTTCAAGAAGAGATTGAAACATCGATGACAACAGTTCGGATCCTGCTCTGAAGTATACAAGATGACCTGTAAACTTCTTTCAGTGCGAAGTAAGACTTGATCGTAACATGTAGAATTCGTTTAATTTCTCTTGGATTAAATTTGTTTGAACTGCGGTTCGAATGCCATAGGAATAGTCTCCAGTCCACAAACCAACCGCTACACGCAAGAATTAACATGTCTTCTTCCGGATAATCAATTGCTTTTCTCTTAATCTTGTTTCTCATCGGAAGTTTCCGACTTCTGCTCCTTCTGCTCATTCTGCTTAGGTTGCTGCAACCATTTCTCAGCACAGCTGCTGAGAGACAGCAAGGGGAACTCACGGCCTGAATGCTCTTCAACTTGTCCTCAACCAGCTTGACAACGTGGTCGATAGACGACTCATACTTGTTGTAGATGAGCAGGGCACCCTTGGTGTACGACGAGACCAGCCACAAAATAAAAATGAGCTTGGCTTCGTAATACAGAGGAATCCTGCCAAGGCACGTCAATCAAGGTAATGAGATTCTGAACGCCTTACCAGCAGATCACAATGTCGAGGAAGAATTCTCCCATGGTGAAGATACCAAAGATAACCCAGTACGACAACCACTGTTGGGTTTGACGCTCAGATGCGAGTTCGCATTTTCACAAGTCGCACCTGGATATCGTCCTCCGTGGACTTTGTCTTGATCGCCTTGTACGATTCGAAGGCAGGATAAAGAACAGAAAAGATCATCGCCAGGAACTTGGATAGCCACCAACCAATCATTGTTGTATCTATGTGCACTTCTGAGACAAGAGTCAGCGTTTCTTCCATTCAGGCAAGGGTAGATACTACTGGAACATATGATTTGACAAACATCAGGCGATTCAAGAAACAAAACAGATTTACAGAGACGAATTATAGATGCTTGTAAAATTGCATGCTTCATCCATGACTACATGCTTCATGTGAGGAATGGAGCTCCTGCTCACGGTAGATGAAGTCCTATGCACTCAAGGAGTTCCTCGCACCAATCAAACATGCTTCCCAAAACACTGACATCACATTCCGAGTTCGATGCACACATCTGTAGAGCGAATTTCGTTGCTAGTATTCTATGTGCTATCATCACGATGAAAAAGTATTAGGGGTAGCAATGCTCTGCCCTCATTGATCAAATTTTCTGTCCTCACTCCACCGCCTCGATCTTCTGTCCGAATGCAATTTTCGGACAGATTGTACACAGACGGTGTCTAAGTAAATCGCTTCTAGTCGCTGGTTTGTGATTGAATGGTCTCAACATGCTTCGTTTTTGTCAAATCATTTACGACATGGTTACAACTGGAATATGAGATGCGGTCACTCAAAAGAACCGCCTCTTTCATAAGTCAGTTGCATAAGTCTACTGCCTTCATTGACCTATTCAGAGCTCTTCACATTTCACACTACCCACTTGTTGTCGCCTGGCTCAAACACAACACAACTTCACAAAACTCGCTCCTTCTTGCCCATTCCTCCTCTCCTCTGTCTCATATCGTTATGATCTCCTTGCTCACTAAAACTATCTCTCATCCAGCATGTTCTGTTCTCTCTCCTCATCCGAGCCTCCTTTCTCTCCATCCTCTCTGATCACCATCTTTGCTCTGCCATCACGCGGCTGCCGCGCTGGCTTTATCGGGGTCAAGGTCTGTCGGGGGGGTTTTGGAAGGGGTAGGGGTAGTCTATCCAGGGGTGGGGGTGATCAGACGATTTGGTGTAGGTTGTCCGAATGGGTGATGACTATCGAGTTGCTTCTGATCCATAGGTGGGGTTATAAACACCGGTATTTTTCATCTTTCATATAGGGGTAATGACAGGATAATTCTGAAATAGAAGGGGTACACAAAAGCTGCTGTGGGTACAAAGGCTTAAAAATAGTTTTGTGATATGCATCGTAGTGTTTTGGGGGTAGTGGTAGTATTTGAGGGGGTGTAGGGGTCATCTGTTGCATTCTCGAAGTGCCCGCACGATGAAGCCCATGTTGGGGTGGGGTAGGGGGTACTCTCCGTGCCCTCCTAGAAGGTAGGGTGGTATGATTCTTGCTTTGAAGGGGTGCATCGAAGGGTGGGTAGTCTATGGGGATTTTCCTCCAAATCCTGATGGAATTGAGGGGTAGGGGTGGACCTTCAAACTTCCAGAGTGAACGATCGTAGTGGGTGATCGGGAGCAGGTATGATCATGGGGTGGGTACTGCTCCCGGGGTGGATAGTAGTGGAGGGATGTTGAACCTACCGGCATGTTTCATATTCCTCAGTTAAATTTTGAAACTGTAAGGTCTTATTTTGAGAATATGAAGGAAACTTCAAAAATTTGAATCACGACCGGTGTTCGTGGTCTTTTAAGGGGTAGAGGCAGGTAACATTGACTTGTAAAATATTTATAAAAATATGGTACAAAATATTATACTTATAAGTTTTAGATTTTGATCCATCGTTTTATGCGTAACGCTATGGTGGGATATTATATATTCTTATTAGAAGTCTATATAATGTATACATATATCTCAAATCAGACAAAAAGGTTTTACATGTAGAGGGCTCAATACCACTGATGAATATTATTTTAAGATTATTTTCTTTTAAAAGAAGAGGCCGCCCCTCCCTTCTGCTGAGTGGACGCCCCCGGACCTGCCGGGGCCGCACTGAGTGAACGCCGACTAGCCTAGTAGATCGGACCGTAGTACTCCGATGAGCCTCAGACTCGAGTCGCCGAGTCGCCGTCGGCCCGGCGGAGTGCCGCCTGTAGGGCACGAGACTCAGTGACTCGCGCGTCACACCGTGCGGCACTGAGCCTCGGTGTAAGAACCCGGATAAGTTCTTGGAGACGGCGAGAAGTTCAGGGTAATGTGTCTCATCGGTGGACGAAGCTCAGCGAGATGGAATACCGTCATTACTTAGGCTGTGACTTAGGAAATCGAGGAGCCTGGAGGCAAGGCTGGAAAGGGTGTCTGAAGGGACACGTGTCGTCTCAGCGGTGTGCATTGAGAAGGGAAGGAAGGCTGTGAAGGGAAGGTGGCTGCTGTGAATAAAGGAACTGTTGGTGGTGTTGTGTGGTTCTTCTGAGAGTTCTATCATCATCACTGAAGGTGTTAGTGAGTGCACAGCTGTGTATCGTTGAGGTGAATAAGGTTGGTGTAAGGATCTCAGGTGTACTGAGAGTTAGTCTTTGGTGGATCTTGGGTTGAATAGATTCTGGCCAGTGAGGTGGACCTTGATTCGATTACTCGGGCACTGGCAGTCCTGAGGGTGGCCGGGCGGCCGCGGGCCTACTGTTTGCTAGCCGGGGGCCTAGTACGGTAGCGGCTCCCGCCGGCGGCCCAGCCCCCGGTAGTAGTTGGCAGTGACTACCCGGCGTATTGTCTGAGTGGCGCCGTGAACGCGCGGCCGGGCCGCTCAGTTCTGACGCCCGGCCACTGGGTCCGGGAGTCCGGTCATATCATGGCAAGTTCCGGCGCGGCTCAGATGCCACGGCTGGGCGGCGCGGCGAGTGAGCCAAACGGAATGACTCGCCGGGTTGATCAGCCGCATCATGTCAGACTCTGAGTGTATGTGACTGACTTGAAGGGCCTGCTAGCCTCAACGATCGGACTATTCAGCCTGTCACGTGTCGCGTGTTACCGTCATAGTCACTGAGGTTACAGTGGGGTCTGTATTCTCACTAGAAGTCAGGAACTGCCGCCGTCATGCTGCTGGACTCTCCTGCTCGCTCGGCGCTCGAAGTCTGATGGGCAGGGCTGGCGGAGGAGGATGTGACGGGCCTCTTGGCGGGGGAGGTCTCCTGCGAAGAGCAGAATCATCTCACGGAAGGAGAGGAGGGAGAACGTGAAAGTAAGAGGGCTGAGGTGAGGGAGGAATTTGGGAAGGGAAAGGTAAGAGGGGAAGGAGGGAAGGGGAGGAAGGGGGGCTGACTGGAAGGTTGGTTGGGTGGAGACAACAGGAGAAGGGGAGGAGGGATCAGTCAGAGGAGGAGGTGGATGGATGATTCTGACTCAGCGTCACCTTGGTGGCCTTCGTCTTGGAAGCGCCGTGAAGGCGGAATAGCTGGGTGTTCTCGAGCTCCTGCAGCAGCAGCAGCAGCAGCAGCAGTCATCTCCTTTCCCCCTCCCTCCTGCTCTCTGCAGAGGAGACAGACCTTGAGCTCTTGCAGGGACTTCGCCACGTCATACCGGAGGTCCTGCAGCTTGTCCACCGACACCTGCGGCCCGCAGGTCAACGTGGCAGGAGGAGGAGGAAGTCGTCTCCTGACCTCGAAGGTCTCGATGGATCCATCGGAGAGCGTCCACTGCATCAAGATCTTGGAGGGAGTCAGTGGGGACGCGAGAGAGGAAGGATATACAGCGAAGAAGCAGGGAGTCAAAAAGCACGGAGGAGCAGGAGTGGGAGGAGGAGGGGAGGAGCAGGAGTGGGAGGAGGAGGGGGAGGAGCAGGAGTGGGAGGAGGAGGGGGAGAGCAAGGATAAGAGTAGGGAGGAAGGTCAATGCGCAGATGGGTCGAGAAAGTCGAGGAAGGTGAAAAGAGGAGCAGGAGTCAGAAGTGATAAGAATCTACTGGTGCTTACAGTTGGTCGCATGACGCGGGAGAGCGAAGTCGTCGAGATCGTGACGTCAACGCGCCATCTGCAACCTGTCATCTCCTCCTCCTCCTCCTCCTCCTCCTCCTCCTTCCTCGCCCCCCCCCCCCCCCAACTTCCTCCACCTCCTCCCAGTCCTTGTCCTGTATCGTCATTGTGCCCTGTCTTCTCAGCCCTATCCCAAGGCTGCCTCCCTCCCTCTCGTACAAGCTGTCTATCATGCCTCCTCGTTTCAAAACTTGTATCCCCAACTCTTCTGCATTCTCTTCGCTCCTCCTCGCCCCTCGCTTCTCTCACCGCATATCCTCTAGCGAGGGGAACGAAGGTCCGCTCAACTGAGGTCCACTGAGGATACGAGTCCTTGCGCGCGAGAGAGCCTGAGCAGGAGAACCTTGAGCATCGGGAGGGTTACGAGCTGTCTCGGCAACCTGCACGAAGTCTTTGGAGACATCCGGCGACAAGCTGAGAGCTTGCTGCGAGCCAAGCGTAAGAACTCGTGCAAGGAACGGATGAAGTAGTCAAGATGGGCAAGTGCGGAATGCAAAGAGGCGGAGGTTGAAGGGCAGGACGAGGAGGTGTTGGACAAGGAGGGGATGGAGGTTGTGGAAGTGGAAGTGGAAGTGGAAGTGGAAGTGGAAGTAGTGGTGGTGGTGGTGGTGGTCTTGGTGGTAGAGAAAGTGGGGTTGTTGGTGGAGGTGGTGGTAAAGGAACAGGAGATTGAGAAGCAGGAGGAGGAGGGAGGAAGAGGAGGAAGATGAGGAGGAGGTGGTGGTGGTGGTGATTGTGGTGGTAGTGGTGGGGGCATCCACCCAAGAGCCTCGAACCCACCAGATCGTTGAGAATCTTCTCCTCCTCAGCCTTGCTTCTGATGGCGCACAACTGCACAGAATGAGGAAGGGGACCGCACAAGTCTCGTCCTCACCAGCGCCCTCGTCGTCCCTTGGAAGAGCGCCTGACCAACCTGGCGAGCAGTAAGCGCATCATTCCAGGAGCACCGACATGATCGATCGATCCAGGTCAACGGCTCTCACATCTTCGAGATCCTCCTCTTCGACATCTGCACGCATGTCAGCGCGATCGCACTTGCTGTTGCCCTTGTGCTCACCTTTCCCTGACAGGTGGTGAACAGATAATCCCAGTGAAGCACGAAAATGGTCTCGGCCTGATCACAAATTGTTGTAGGTCAGATGCTATGAGGTGGAGGTGAATGAGGTGGAGGCGTAAAGAACGGAGAGCATGGGGCAGGAGCAGGGGCAGGGGCAGGAGCAGAATTCAAAACGTTTAAACCTGAATCCTCCACTAGGTTTGGAAGGCTTGCAATTTCAGGTGGGACTGACGCTCCCCAGAACGGATCCTCAATGAATCCTTCCCTGTGATAGCACCCAGCATCAGAGCAAGATATCTGAGGAGATCCTCCTCTTCCCCTCTCCTGCTCCCTCTCCATGCCCAGCGGTCTCCTTCAACCCACGAGTCCCATCCACACTCTTCATCCTCCTGCTGCTCTTCCTCGTCGCTCACTTGTTCGTCGTGTGAGTGATCTGGTACTGCAGGGCTCGACGACCGAGGAGCGCACCCCCCCTCGACATGCTCCAGGTCCTCTAGGTCGCCGCAATCCTCGCTCAGACAACAATGCTGGGAACGACATCAGATTCGCCGTCAACACTCCATGTGCTGTCAGCTCCCTACAGTGTCTTCATACACCGTCCGCTTGCTTCTCTAACGTGTCCCTTGTTGGATGCTTTATCATTCCCGCTCCTTCGCTACCCCGCCTACCTTCCATCGCCTTGTCCTCGCCTCAGCCATTGAACAATCACCCTCTTTATCACCCTCTTTCCTCTTCTCCCCTCTCATTGTATGTCCCCGTCTCTCTCCCTCCCCTTCCCCCTCCTCCTCCCCTCTCCTTGCTGCTACTGTTCCAGGTCGCCATGCTGACGGTGACGGTAGTGAAATTCATTTAGCTAATCCGAAACCGCATCCCGGCGCCGGCCCGGGGCCCGGCTGACTCTGTGAGAGGCGGCCCGGCCCGGCCGTGCCACCGCCGTGTCACTGACTAGTAGTACCGTACGGCCGCGCCCCGCACTGGCTGAGGCGGGCCCGGCCCCCGGGCCGAAAAAAAAACACCGCCGGGCTAGGCTGAGGGCCGCCGGGGCCCCGGCCGCGCCGCCGTGCCCGGGCCGGGGCCCGGCCACGACGCCGCAGGGTCACCGCCGGGTAGTATCATGTCACTCCGAGGCTCAAAAAAACTGACGGGAGTCTATGATGGCTCAGTGTCGGTCCCGGACTCTCAATGGTAGGCCGCGCCGGGGCCGCGAACCGTGCTGAGTCGTCGGACTCTGATGATCCCGGCGGCCGATCCGATCGGCAGTGAGCCGGGCGCCGACTCTGCCGCCCGCGGCCGCCCGGCGTGCCACCGTAAGCACCGGGCGCGCCGGGCCCGGGCCCGACCGTGTAACCGTGACACTAGTCACCGGCCAGTCCGGGGCCGCCGCCGGTTCCGGGGGCCCGCGCCGAGACGGCCCCACCGTCCGCCGGACTCGAACGTCAACTTCACTGACTCCCGACTCCCGGAGTCCAGGCTCAGTCACCCGTCAAGTCCGAGGCCCCGAGCCTCGGAGTCGGCCCGGTGCGGCGGCGGCCCGGCGGCCGCCCGCGGCCCCCGCCGGGGGGCCCGGGCCCGCTACCAAGTTCTCAGTGGCACAGGCTGGACCGAGCCTGTCAAGTTTCACTTCCGAGTTCAGGCTTTGGCAACAGTTGGCAGGCTTGCGGCAGCGCGGCTTTGTATGCTTGAAATCATTCCTGGAATTGAATGATTAAGCCTGAAACACACTCATCAGATCAGCATCATGCTCTCTGGTACGGTACGGTAGCTCAGCTTCTGGCATCGTCATCCTATTTCCGGGCCGCCGACTACGCTACGTCCAAAGGGCGCCCGGTATCAGTGAGCCTGACTCTCTCCGCCGGGCGGCCCTTCAAGTAGTCCAGCAGACAACAGTTTGGCTGCTTTGACTGATAGAGTGACAGTTGTTTCATGACTCGGCTGAGGATGTTTTTGATATCACCACAATCTCGGGTCTTGCTTTCTCTCTCAACAGCCGTCAGCTCACCATGACATAATGCATGTTCGCTGTTGCTTGTAGTCTACAGTGAAAAGTCACCAATAGAGAGGATCAGGTACCCCCTCCCCTCCCCTCCGCTGACCCCTGGCGCTCCGATGACTCCCCCGACAGCGACGAGTCAGCCTTGCAAGACGCCCAGCCTGAGCCCTTCGATCTCCTCCTCCCCGACCAGCGCTCAGACAACCCACCACCGCTTTTCGCCCTTGGTGTGAAGGAGCAGCTGATGCACATGACTGCTTCTCCCGTTCCGCTCAACCTTGCCCCGCTGCCACGGGCCTCGGCTCCGCCCCTGCTCTGCAGATCAAGGCTGCCTCCTGCCACCCTCGCCTCCTACAAGCCCGGCCCCTCCTCCTACCCCTTCTTTCCAGGCAAGCTCACCCTCGGCCAGAAGCTCGACATCGTCCGCCGCAGCGAGGCGCCCAAGCACGACCTCGACTACCGCTCGCCGTCAGAGCTGGCGCGCATGTACGGCAAGAGCCGGTCGTCCATCTCCAAGATCCTCAGGCCGACCTACGTCCGGAGGCTCAAGCAGCTTGCGGCCAGCGGCGTGTCGACGGACATCAAGCGGAGCACGAGCACGCTGCACCCGGAGCTGGAGCGGCGGATCCACGAGTACGTGGTGAGGACGGCGAGGGGGGCGAACTGGCGGCAGGAGGTGTGCAGGTACGCGGAGGAGGTAGCGGAGGAGCTGGGGATCGAGGGCTTCAAGGCGAGCTTGAACTGGTACCACCGGTTCATAGCGAGGCACTCGCTGAAGGGGGGGAGTGGGAGCGGGGGGACAAGACGGAAGTAAGCGGTAGATGAAGGAAGCTATCTTGACATCATGAATTATTTCTATGTTTAGTTCAGTTGTAAATGATGGTAGAGCTCATGGATTATTAATCTCTTTTTGTGAGTTTTGTAATGAAAGTTGATTATGCGTTCAATATGATTTCCTTGCAAACAGGATTGGCAGTAGTTCGTATCTTCCTAGATGCATCGATGCAACAGTCTCCTCAACTCAGCCGACGGAAGGTTGTGCTACGATGCCCACCGATATGGTACACAGAAGCCTTTGGGAATAATGATGACCTGCAATTATGCGGGAGGTGAAAAACTATCAAGGTGGGGTTGGTCCAGATCTATTCTCTGGAGAAATCCGTTCTCGACAACATCTGCAGCCTGCTAACTTTCATCGGTCACTTTTTCACTGCACATGCACTGTTCGTATTTCCTACAAGGTCAAACAAGCATGGCGTTATTCAACAGATCAGTCCTCAATTGAAGCCAAGGCAGCGGGAAGCAGGCGCCGTGTCTGGAAGGATGGATCTAATCAAGCATTTGTATCACTCAAATGCACAATATGCATGCTCTCTTTCCCCCATGACCATTCGCCTTGCTGCATGTGCTGCTTCCCCGTCGTCCCCCCGTCGTCACTGATTTGCTAGACATTTATACAACTGCTCACCTGTGAAAACGAGGGCTTGCAAGACTTTGATTGAATGCTCAGGTACCTCGTCCATCACAGTAGCCATCTTTTGATACGACATGTAATGTCGGATGTGGTGTATCAGCTTCGAATCTGCCGAGTATACTCTCCGAAACCCTAACATATACTGAGGCCGCCTGAAGTTTCTCTCCATTGCCTGCAACATCACTTCGCAACATGACTTTTCTTGCTTCCTTGCAACAGACAACCCGATGTGGGCAAGGCTAGTGTGTGCTCTTCATGAATGCTTTCTTCGCTTCCGATGATGAGTGAGATTATGAAGAACTGTACTTTCACGAATAGGTTGTTTGTGAGTGCTGGACAACCTCTGTTTCCTTTCACCGAATCGAAAGCTAGCCGGAGCAGTATGGAAAAAGCTAGAGTCAGTAAAGACATTTGGAGGGATGACAAGCAGTATTGTGCAAACAACACGCAGGCTCAATACGATTCTATTGTCTCGCCCCAAAGATTACGTGCTGCAGACGTCTACAGTGTAGGCTAAAGGCAACTCCTCCTAATCTTACAAAGGATAAGTGCAGTGATGTGTACTTCACAATCGCCTGCTGGACAAAAATGATGTTCAACATGAAGTGAGACTCGGACTGTTCTATATGAAGACGCCGATAGTTTGGTACAAGAGATCCATTGGGAGTCTCCATGCTGTAAAGAGAGAATTGCACCGTGCAAGGTCTTGCTTCCCACAAGTTCTTTGCACCTCTTACCTTTATGAGATCCAGCTGAGTTGCCTGGGCAAGCATTCTTTGTAAATGCTCTCCGCCGCGTTCCCACTGCTGTGTTAGACATTTATACAACTGCTCACCTGTGAAAACGAGGGCTTGCAAGACTTTGATTGAATGCTCAGGTACCTCGTCAATCGTAGCCATCTTTTGATACGACATGTAATGTCGGATGTGGTGTATCAGCTTCGATTCTGCGGGGATACACTTCGGGAGCTTTATTGCATTGAAATTTTACAATTACTGGATCTGTACATGTCATTTTGTAGTCGCAGCCCGTTGTCAACAAAATAGACTGACGCTTGGACGGGTTGATCGACTACACGTCCGATAAAGCATATATCAACTCTAGCACTGCGCATCCATTGCTTCCTTGCATGATGTTGTTGTGGTAGGCACTGTCATGAAAGAGGGAGTCGAGATAGTCTGAATGCGGAGGGCAAGAGGGATGGTCTTGCATCAGAGAGTGTGGTAAGTGAGTGAGTGGGGAGCATGGGGGGTTGCAAGCGCATGTCGAAGGACTGCAGGAGAACATCTTGTGCAAGGCTGCCTCCAGAGTTTTCAATCAGGTTTGTTATTTCATCGAATTGCTAGGGGGAGGGGTGGTATACCTACCCATGTCATGACGCTACAAAATGGTAAAATGGACCCCTCCTTTCGGTGATAAAACGTTCTGCCAATGGGAGGGGATAGGGTGGGTTACTCATGGAGTGGTTCTACACCACCAGCTACACGCCATGTAGTCTCTTTTTGAGCTAAGAAACAATGGGGATGGGGTGGGTAGTTGCAGGAGTTCTGAGGGGTAGTCACAGACCACTGCATGACAATGAGACTACATCCCATGGCGATGTCGCTCGTGCAGCGATGTTGCAGCCCACCAGAAATAGCTGCAGCAAGGACCCCCCCACCAGACCCCCTGCATCAGGGCCTCAACCCCCCCTCAACCCGGCCCACCAGCGGCAAGGATCGGACCCCCCCACCAGACCCCCTCCACACCATCCAAGGACCCCTCACTCACTCAGAGCCCTGCTTAACGGACCCCTCTAGAAGGCCCCTCCACGATCGGCAAAGACCCCTCAATTATCTTCGTACTGATTTTTAACTTAACATTGAGTAAACCATTTAACTTAACAGTGAGGGACTTTGTCAATTGTTTTCTTGACCCACGATGGCAACGCGAGCGCTCGCCGACACGTCTTGCGATGAGGGGAGGCAGAGAGGCTCGATGCGAGCAGCACCTCTGACGCACCATGTGCGCGTGCCTGTGTCTTGAGAGCGCGCGCTGGAAGCTAAGTTGTACGGTCAAGCAGTGAGCTCTGCTGCCGTTGTGTGGCGCTGAGGGAGGCGGCAGCATGGACGAGAAGGGCCTACCATTTGTGGACGAGCTCTTCAGCAGAGCGGTAGTGAAGATGAGAGATCTCGCTGCTATGGAGGACGACCGCTCCAACGACGTGATCTGCGCTGCCGGCTTCATCAAGATGGCAGTTTCCATGAGCGTGTCAGAGTTCAACAAGGAGAACGAGAGGAACGTGACGTCCAGCCTGTCGCTCGTCACTCATCTGTGCAGGACAGACGTGCAGGCTCGCAGAGAGACATGGCAGATCGTTGGGCCGAGAGGGTTAATCTTCTTCCTGCGGCGCAAAACCGAGAAGAATATCTTGAAAGCAGCCCTGATGCTGGCAATAACACTTACCAGCGATATTGAAGGCGACGAGGAGGAGGGGACTCAGGTGCTCGCGCGTAGTGTGCTCTGCTGCTGTCTGACCTGACCAACGCCTTGCAGAGGTTCCTGAGGGAAGTCAAGAACGACCTCGTCTCCTCCAACGTGCTGCATGTCCTGATGGACCTCGTGAGCATCTCCGAGGAGGACGGGGTAAGCTTCAAGTTCCCTCTGGACATCGTCAAGCTCTCCATCCAAGTCATCCTGCTCCTGGGATACGAGTGCATCAGTCAGGAGGCTGGGAGCGAGGTAAGACCGTTTCATCTCCTCCTCACTTCGTGCGGTACCTTGTGGGTCCTCGCTCTGTGTCGTGCCGCTTGCGCTTGGTGTCATGACGGTGCCCTGCTTCCTACAGGAGCTTCTCTTGCGCTTGAATCGAATCCTATGGATCATTGTGGACCGATACGACGATCCCGAGATCAAAGAAATCTCTGCAGCACTTGTACGCTGTCTTTCATGTGTCACGGTAGCGCAGCACAAGACGTATGACAGCTCCCTGCAGGCGGAGCAGATCCCCTTTGGAAGAGACGCGGGCACAGAGGAGGCAGACGAGCTGATATTGATGCCGATCCTCGTCAAGATCTTGAGTGAGCAGAGCTGCTGCGTGGAGGAGCGAGGGGAGCGGGGAGGACGGATGAGGATTGAGGAGGAGGAAGAAGGGGGCGGAATTCAGAGGGATTATTGATTCACTCGCTGCTGCCTGCAGGCCATGGCTATTCGAGCATGATCTTATCATTCATGTCGAGCAAGGCAAAGGGGAGGAAGAAGAGTGTAAGCTGCTGTGATGGAAGAGCAGCGAAATGATGACAGTGGCCGGATGCAGGAGGAAACGATTTCTAAATGGCAGGAGGCGCCTTCAATGAGAGAAGTTCAGGGATCTGCTCTCGCTGTGAGCTGAAAAAGAGGGAAGGGCAGGATGAAGAGAAGACTGTGAAGAAGAGGAGGGAGAGGGAACTTGGTGCCACTATGCTGATATACGCTGCATTCATTCTTGCACTCAGGTTATCCGAAGACTGTGCGCGAGGCGAAGCTTACAGGAGCTCTTCCTCGCCCTCGGAGGTAACGAACAAGGAGGGTCGAGTAGAGGGTAGAGGCGCAGTGAGGAGGGGAGGGTGGAGAGAGCAGGGCGACGAGCATGCTTGACTGATTGTGACGCTTTCCCCTACAGGGCTCCCCCCTCTCGTTCTCATCTCCCTCTACTCAGAACCATCGCAGAAGGTCAATTCTCCTCATCCTGTTGCTTGCGTCCCTGATCCTAAGCAGCAAGCAGCCGAGATGCTGATAGCACAAGTCGCGCTGTCCGGTGAGTCCTCGCCGTGTGAGGGAGAGTGGCACTTGTCGAGGTTCGGAACAGTTAGGAGAATGCAGCGGGTCTGATCAAGATGTGGAGCCTCAGATTTTGGAAACTTACTTGCTGCCGCGTTGTGCTAACTGAGTTGCCGATGATCCGCAGAGAAGGCGAGGGAGGAAGTTTACAGCATGCAAGAGTTCTTCATCAAGACTTACGGCATAGATAGATTACCAACCACGGCGTGAGATCTTCTTTTCATCAGTACTACCGCGGCAGCCCGCCCGGCACGGGTACTATACTGAGAGCGATGGCTGCCACGGTCACCGACCGTACGGTAGTACGTGGCCACTGGCACCTTGTGACGTCTTGAAACTTGAAGCCTTGAAGCCCGTGACTGAAAGGATTGGTGATGACCCACTGTGACTGGGTCACGGATGGCCTGTGCTGACGAACGGTGAGTGAGACTTTCACCGAAACAGCCTCCTTTTAAAAGTCCAATCCGGCGGACAGTCGAGGTGGTACCGCAACGGGCAATAACCGTTCAACTGCTCGCATCACGGCTGCACTTCGAGGCTGTCTAGTAGATCTTGCCAGGATAATCTCCCTGAAGAAAAAGAAGCTTGAGAAGGAGAGGAGGAGGAGGAGGAGGAGGAGGAGGAGGAGGAGGAGGAGCCAAATGGAGCGCCAGAACGTTAAAGACTTACATCGGACGCATAGTATGCAGTCGAGGTAAGCAGACCGTCCCCATTCTGCCGGAGGTTCAAAGCACGGTGAGCGAGGGGGACGCACGAGCAAGGTTATAAGCCTCCCACCGCTCCTGACGGTAGAGGAACGTCGTTCCATGCTCCGTCGCTCATCCTGGGGTTGTACTCCGAGTACTGTCGGGGCGGCGTGACCACCAGCAAGAACAGCAGATAAGAGAATTTTTCTGGCGAGCACGTACCTGCTCAGGAGGAGGAACTCCGGCATCCTTCAGCGCTGGCTTCCCGTAGTTGAACGCCCATGGGTCCGTCGTCGCTGGTCCCCTTGAGCGGCAGGAGTGTCAGACAGGAAGGAGGGCAGTTGGCAAGTTACTGGATCCCGAAGGTAGCAGCCTCATTCTGGTCATCGATGCGGTCGTCATAGCCCGTCACTTCCTCGGCAGGCTTGTTGCAGTTCCTCCAGTCCTTCAGGCACGCGTTCAGGAAGTCGTCTCTGGCTTTGAACGCCCTGTCCACGTTCTTCTGAAGGACGTCCACTGTCCACACGTCAGCTCACACACTCTTTGGACCCCATCATAAGCTCACTCGTCTGGGAGTGCTTGCCGTTGGTGTGCCGGTCGATGTATGCTGCTGCTTCCTTGCTCCATGCACCGTCCTCCTGTGCGGGAGAGCAATCCGACCTGAGCACTCCAGGGATGCAATCGGTATGCAGTCCAGGAACCGTCTTCCTACCATCTACGTAGTCCCCAGTGGTAACCAGACCATCTCCGCCCCAGAGAGACTGCTTCCTAGCCTTGCTGTAAGGAACAAGCAACTGAACCCCCCATCTTCCCTTCGGACCTCTCACGCTCCTCTGAAACACTTCCAGCTGTTCTGAAGGGTTCTGCTGATTGCCGAATTTCATACAGATAAGGCCGAGACACAAGACGGAGAGTATCGCTGATGCGTATGCGACTTGCATCTTGACGTTTGAGTCCACCATGATCTAGAAGCCTTGAAAGCACGCTTCTCCCTCTGCTAGAAAAGGTGTCAACGACAGTGTCAAGAACACGTCATGAAGTTTGCTCGAGTTCATTTCAATCCATTCAAGGCTTTTCCTAAACCGCTCGCGCATGATGTCACCTGATCCTTCTTCTCGTCAGTGTATATTGTTACATCTCCAGCTCTTCACTTGCTGAGCTGCATGATCTTACTACGCTCCCTCTCCCTCTCCTCTCCCTTCCCTGTCACGCCACCATCACTGCTTGTTATTCTGGAGACAACTCTTCAGCCCTTGTTCTACTGTCCCTGGGTCACAGTCACCCCCAGAGCACTATACTCTTCTGCCTTACTCCTTCCCTAGTACTTTTCTCTGAGGCTGACTCAGTATCTCCCGGGCCCGGCGGACAGCTGAGCGCGCCGGGCGTGACTTTGACAATCACTGAGTCATGCGGCCCGGGTCGGGGGCCGGGCAGCCTGACCGCGGGAACTCGACGGTGAGCGCGTTCCGGCCCGGGGCCGGGGGAAGGGCAGCAGGTGGCGCCAGTCCCCGGGCCGGCCCGCAGGCTGCGACGCACAGGGCGACGCCACCCTCAGGCCTGGACCGGGACTCGGACGGCGCCACCACTGGCGCCACCAGCTCAGGGCCCGGGAGGGATGGCCCGCCATTCAGGGCCCGGGAGGGATGGCCCGCCACTTTCTACATTTAAGAGAAGGGTCATGAGAAAATGTGGAGAGCGGTAGGGTAGGGTGGTAGGATTTTAATAGATACCGGTCCATTTAGGAAAGATTCTCTGGGTAAAATACCGGTCATTGAACCAGAGGGATCTCAATGGGGGTCGTAAAATCCATTACATCCAGAACGTGGGTAGTTCTATGAGCACCGGTGTAATCGAGCTCAAATCGGGGGGTGTGGGGGGTACGGGAGAACCGACTAAGAAAGACACAATGCAGAGGGGAAACGGAAGAAATTTCGTCCTTGTTGTCCCGAAGAAGGCTTCTCCTCCTCCCTTCTCCTCCCTCCTCTTGTGTTTCATTCACTGAAGCAAGCTCGTGCATACGTCTCCTTGTCTGATCTCACATGTTCGACCAGCCCCGACATCACTGCGGTTTCAGAGTGAAAACGATGTAACATTTCTTGACTGGGCTGATTTGCGATGAATTGTTTTGTTGGATTGCTGTTTTGATGTCTCAAAAAATGATTTGAGTTTATGTTGTACATGTTTCAAAGGGTTTTCCTGTCTGATTTTGTAATTCGATTGAATTTCCCTTGTAAGTTCTCAAACTACGAAACGAGGTCAAAAGCAGCATTGTTTCAAGTTGGGATTTCTTCAAGAAAGCCAGAGGTGTAGATAGAACAAAGTCCTCGTTTTGGTCCACTTTGATATGTCTATCTGTGCAATTTGATCTGTCTGCCTGTCTGTCAATATTCTCCCTGCTGGGACCATTTTCACGAGTGCTGTGGTCCCTGTTCTCGCCGGTACTCTCCCTCCTCCTCCTCCTGACCTCCCTAAAGTTTCGTCGTCATCAGACCTTACCAGCATCTGTGCTGATCTTTTTTCATTGCCAGCATGTGGAGCCCAAAGATCGCACTCGCTGTCGCCCTGGCTGCCGCAGGGTCCGCCGACGCTTTTGTAAGCAGAGTGACGCAGCTTTTGCTTGCTGATATCTCCCCCCTCCCAGTCTCCTGCTACTCCTGCTCTCAACGGCCTCCGCAGCCAGCGAGCTGGCGTTTCCTCTATGGCCATGGCCAAGGACGATGCCAAGCCAGAGGTCTCCCGTCGTTCTCTTCTCGGCCTTGCCCCAGCCGTTGCTGCTGCCTTTGCGCTGAAGGTGAGGAGGGAGAAGGGAGGAGGGAGGTTGGACTGGGGAGTCAGACAGGAAAAAGTCAAAGGGGAGAGGACGGAGAGAGAAGAGAATGAGAAGGAGGGGAGGGGGGGAAGGGGAAGGAGGGAGGAATGGAAGGGAGAGAAGGGAGGGAGGAGGAGGTGGATGATTGATGTATTTGTTTGCTTGCAGCCTGCAGATGCTGCTGTTGACATCAGCAAGCTTCGATCCCTTGGAGCGTTCGTTGATGAGGGAGGCTCAGCCCCTGCCCCTGCCCCTGCTCCAGTGAAGGCTCCTGCCCCTGCCCCTGCTCCTGCTCCTGCTGCCAAGGCTCCTGCTGCTGATCAGAGCGCAGCCAAGGCTGATGCTGAGGTGAAGAGTAAGAAGGAGCAAGTCAAAGCTAACTGAGCAACTCGCAGGCTAAGGCCAAGGCTGCCGCTGACAAGGTTTCTCCTCCCCCGCCTCCTCCTCTTTTTCTTCTCCTCTCCTTCCTCCCTCCTCCTCCTCCTCCTCCTCTTCCTCCTCTTCCTCCTCCTCTTTGACACTCCTGCAGGCTGCTTCTGACAAGGCGGCTCAGAAGGCTGCTGCGGACAAGGTGAACGAAAGGGGAAGGGCTTATGGTGGGGGAGGGAGTATGGAAGAGGGATGTGAGGGTGGCAGGGGAGGAGGAGGAAGGTGGAAACAAAGAGGTAGGCTGGGAGGGAGGGAGAGGAAGCGAAGGGAGGGAGGGGATGGAAAGGGAAGGAAAGGGAGGGAGGGGAAGAATCAGAGGAGAGGAGTTGGATGATCGTGAATCGCAGGCTGCTGCTGAGAAGGCTGCACAGAAGGCTGCTGCTGATAAGGCTGCTGCTGATAAGGTAACCTCTCTATAACTCCCCTACCTCCCTCGTCCTCCTCCTTCGTCACCACCCTCCACCTTTTACAGCTCCTTATGTTCCTGTTCGTGCTCCCCCCCCCCCCCCACCACCACCACCACCATCCTTTCATATTTGTCTAGCTTCTCCCTCCTCTCTCTGTTCTGCTTTCCCTCCTGCCTGGCTGCTGCAGCTGCTTGTTGTGGTCCTTCTTTCTCTCGTTCACTCTGACCCGCTCGCTTGTCCAGGCTCAGGCTGAGGCCCAGGCAAAGGTGAAGCAAGATGAGAGGAAGGGGAGGGGAAGGAGTGGAAGGGAGGGGAGGGGAGGAGAGGAGGACAGAGAGAGAAGGAGGAGAAGGAGAGCAGGGGGGGGCGGAAGCGAATCGCTGAGAGTTCAAGCAGGCTGAGGCTGCCAAGAAGGCGAACTCTGCGAACAAGGTGAGGAGGAGGAGAGGGAAGGAGGGAGTGAGCTGACGGGTGAGCTACAGGATGAGCTGCTGAAGAAGGCTGCTGAAGCTGAGGCAGCTGTGAAGAAGGCCGAGGAAGAGGTATGCTGCCTCTGTACTGAACAGGAGCAGGGACGGGGGGAGGACGAGGGGTTGATGATGATGATGATGATATTGATGATGATGATGATGAGGAGGAGGAGGAGGCGGAGGAGGGGCTGAATTTTCCGCAGCTTTCTAAGAAGGAGAAGGAGATTGGATCGATCAAGGGCAAGGCTAACCTCAAGGTACTGGGGCAGGGAAATGGAGGAGAGGAGTGCAGGGCGAAGACAAATAGGCTGAGGCCATGAAGGGGAGGAAGAAAGAAGGATACGCGCAGGAAGGAGCAGAGCGAGGAGAGGGGAGTAGAGGAGTTCGGAGCAGAAGCACGGAAGGAGCAGAAGCACGGAAGGAGCAGAAGCACGGAAGGAGCAGAAGCAGGGGGAGGGGCAGGAGCTGCGGAGGCGGATGGTCTGATGTCTGACGGCTGCTCAGGGTCAAACTCTCTTCGGCCTCTAGGGGTGAAAGGCACGTGACTTGAATGAATTCAGTGAAAGTGATACAATGATCCTCCTCCTCCTCCTCCACCACCACCACCTCCTCCTGCTCCTGCTCCTGCTCCTGCTCCTGCTCCTGCTCCTGCCCCTGCTCCTGCCCCTGCCCCTGCTCCTCTTTCCAGTCCTTCCCCTCCTACTTCCAGTCCTGCTCCTCCTCGTCCTCCTGCTCCCCCTCCTGTTCCTCCTTCAATCTCTCCTCCTCGTCCTGCTCCTCCTCGTCCTGCTCCTCCTCCCTCTACTTCTTTTCCTTCGTGTCTGTGAGTTTTCCTCTTGTTCGTCCGGAAGTAGTTCTGTGGCTTCAAACCTCCCTCACCCGCCCTCAATCCATTCCTCTCTCCCTTCTACACCACCCCGCGCCTCCCCTACCCCCACCCCTTCTTTCCTCCTCCTCCTTCCATCCTCTTTCTCCCTCCCTCCTTTCCCCCTCCTCCTTCTTCCCTCCTCCTCCCCCTCCTCCTCCTCCTTCCCTTTCTTCCCCCCTCCTTCCCTCCTCCTTCCCCTTCCCCTATTTCTTTCCGTCTCCTTCCTCATCTCCAACTCGTGCATGTGTTGCGCATGCTTTATGCTATCAGAGCTTCCAGGCCTTGTCGGCGAGCTTCTTCTCTATGGGTGAGGAGAGAGATTTGATGATAGTTTGACGAGACAAGTCTAGAATAGAGGAGAGAGGGGGTAGAGGAAAGGGGAGGGGAGGAGAGGGGAGGGGAGGGGAGGGGAGGGGAGGGGAGGAGAGGAGAGGAGAGGAGAGGGCAGGAAAGGAGATCACTGAATAGCAGGGGAGACCGAGGGAGGGGAGGGGGTAAGAGGGCCAGACGGAGCAGACAGAAAGCATGAAGGTAATTGAAGGAGAGTAGGAGAGGAGGAGGGGAAATGTAACTTCAAGATTCCTCACCTGTCTGTTCGCATTGACCCACTGGATCCTCTCAGCGTACATGTCAGCACGGGACGTCAGAGCCTCGATGGTGTCCTCCTGCGAGATAAGACATGTCAAATCAGTCGCAATCTTAGTTGAAGCGTCATCATCATCATCATCATCATCATCGTCATCCTCCTCATCATCCTCATCGTCATCCTCCTCATCGTCGTCATCCGTACCTTGGCAAGAGCTCTTCCGATGAAATAAAGTACATTGGACATGATCCTCAGGTTGATCATATCAGGAATTCCTTCCACCTGCAAATCACAATCAGAAACATTCTTACAGACAGAGAGAGCGAAGAAAGCAAACTTGATTCTTGTCTGTTGGCATAAGCAACAACAAGAAAAGGAGCAGGCGCAGGAGCAGGCGCAGGAGCAGGCGCAGGCGCAGGAGCAGGAGCAAGGGCAGGAGACATCACTTCACCTCCTTCCTTGTCAGCTCGCCATACTCACAAAATCCAGAGACAAACGAGTCCATGAGGTTAAAGGGATCTTTCTCCGCAGCGTACTGAGCCAACATGCATGTCAGCTCCCCCAGTCCTGAGCCTTGTTTCTAACTGCTTCTCCCCTCCCCTCTCCTCTCATCTCCTCTCCTCTCCTCTCCTCCCCTCTCCTCCCCTCCCCTCCCTTCATCTCCTCTCCTCTCCTCTCCTCTCTTCCCTTCATCTCCTCTCCTCTCCTCTCCTCCTCTCCTACCTTGGAAAGGCAGACAGCAAGCTCCATTGCTCTCCAGTCCTCCGCAGCAAACTCGAAGTCCAGCAGACCAGTCACCTTCTTTCCGTCGTAGAGGACGTTGTCAAAGTGAAGATCGCCGTGGCTGCCGGCAATGTGTGAGTGGAGGGGAGGGAGAGAGGAGCAGGAGCAGGAGCAGGAGCAGGAGCAGGAGCAGGAGCAGGAGCAGGAGCAGGAACTCGGAGGAGGAGGAGCAGCAACAGGAGGAAAAAGTGGTGGTGGTGGTGGTGGTGGTGGTGGAGGAGGAGGAGGAGGAGGAGCGGGAGCAGGCAGACACAAATGCTTCAGAGGGAGTCAGAGCAGGGTGAGGGGTGAGAGGAGAGGAGAGAATGGAGGAGAATGAGCAACAACGAAAGAGCGCAGAGAGAGAGGAGATGGAAAGGAGAACTGCACAGTTTGCAAGGATAAGGGAAGGGGCGGAGGTAAGAGAGGCGGGTGGGGAGGGGGGAGGAGAACGGTAAGGGCATCCCACATGAGCTGGAAGGGGAGGTTCTGGGACTTGAGCTCCTCCAGGCGCTTCTCGATCCTCTCGAACTCTTGGACCATGATGTTCATCGACTCCTTGCAGCTGTCGGCCCAGGGTTTCTGGATCTCCTCGAAGAATTTCTCCCTCGAGATCGCATGGTGGACCTTGTAGATGTCGAAGTAGGGGGGAGTCGGGGACTTGAGCTCGATCTTCACGTTGCCCAGAGCCACCAGCAGTTCTCCTGCCGCCCTGCCGATGCTCGCTGGCTCTGCCGACTTGGGAAGCTCTCCAGGGATGGTGTGGCACATGCAAGCTTCTGCGCCGTTGGACAGGAGCACGTGGGTATCTCCAGTCTTCTTGCTCGGCACGTAGTCGGGGACTTTGAAGGACATGGTCTGCTTGTTCAGCTCCTTGAGCACGGCATGCTCGTACTTGACGCGCACGGAGTTGCCGCCGTTGTTGTAGATCCTCATCACATACCGCTGACCATCGCTGGTGTCGACGTACTGGACCAGGTTGTTCACGCCCCCGCTGGTCGGGGTGAACTTGACGTTGTCGTCATCGAGGAAGTGAGTAGCAGCCTCCTTGAGCAGCTTCGGGATATCCGTTGCCTTCCATGTATCCGCCTCAGTGAAAGTTTGTGCCATGTTCAGTCTCTGTGCCCCCCCAGCCTGACGAAGAACCAGGTGAGACCTGCGGGAGCAGGAGAGCGTCAGCTGGGCGGAAGAGCGAGAGAGCAGAGAGGCTGTGTTGAGGGAGAAGGACATGGCGCAGGAAGACGCCGCCAGCACCACCGCCATCCTCATCGAGTTTCGCACGCGCGCCATGAGGAATTTGCAAGAAGGTTACCTCCATGAGCAGGGTGGGGTCAGTGATACTACCCTACCCTCACTTTGAGATAATGGGCAAAGAAAAAGAGGGGGTATTGAAGGTGTATTACAAGGGATCCGGGTGGGTCCTCATCCTTTATAACTTGCCTCGGACTAGATATAAGGAACCTGGCTGGCCAAGTCCGCCCCGGGCCGCCCGGCCCGCGGGGCCCGGCGGCTACCGTACTGAGTCACTGAGTCGGGAACCGTGACTGCCCGGCCAGTGAGTACCGTCGTATAATCCGGGACCGTCCCGTCGGAGCATTACGTTCGCTTGTTGGTTTTGGGGTTCTTTTTCCTGTGGGGCTCTGATACAGGCGTGGTAGAGTTTGAAGAGGGAAATGCACAGGGGTGGGTCCTGTAATACTAATTTATTTGTTTTAATGGTACAAATTACAATACTTTTAAGAGTCCAGCATTTTATGATGGTAGACCCCCCGAGCCCCTCCCCCCTCCCTTCAGCCCTCTCGCGATGGTGCAGGGATATGCACAACGCTAATCAATGACGAAGACGGATAGACCATCAAGATTCGAAGTTAATGTCGATGAGATATCTTGATAACACGGTCGTTGTGTTGCTTTTGTGAATACAATCATCCTTATCGTAATCTAATCTTGCAAGTTCAGAATCAAGCACCATCCAAGTGTTGCTGTGATGATTTTTCATTCGCAAAGTCGACAATGTTATGTTTTATCAATAAAAAAATGCTTGAGATGTAAAGTATTGCACTAGATATCCAGTGCTGTTTGTCAAAGCAGCTCAACCTTCACTCGTGCCCTCACAAACAAGATGGGATAACGAGCATCCTGCTCTTGCCTCATCATAGTGTAATCAAGGATTTTGATTTTGCATAGTTCAAGATATTTGATGTTAGAAATTTTGTGCCTCAGATTTACGGTATACATTTGAATGGGAGAGGCAACATGTTTCACGGGCATTGGCAAGGTGTATGAACATCCAACTAGGGTCACGAAAGCATGAACTGAGCTGAGTGTACGTGTTCTATCAAGCATGATTCAAAGCTCATGGCCCTGCTTTGAAGCGCGGTTCGTTCGGAACCTTGCAACCTGCATGCTGTGGACTGATATGATGTTGAGAACTCTAGAGTGTTGTAGACAGTAGCAGCTTCGCATGCAGCGAGTAGCAATACTCTGTAACACGATTGTTCTTGGTCAAGGCATCAACAGAAGGTACGCATTTCATTAAGCATGATCTGGAATCAGTCTACTTGCAAGAGAACTCCTGTGCACATGACTCTGCAACTGCGCTGGAAAGTTGCATGCAGATCTCAGCATGATGATGTGACGCAGAAAAGCTCACTCCATACAGCTTGTCGACTCTCACGATGTAAGGATATGAAGTCAAGCTATGTATGCAACATTGAGATACGTTGCTTCAGAAGTGATCCACTGTCATGAATTCTCATGAATTCATTCAAATCGTCTTTTCTCCACATGTTGAGCACCAACAGCAAGTATTCGATACACTTAGATCATCCCTACATAATTTTCTTTTGTCGTAAAACTTGTCTGCTGTCGATATCGTCACGAGCATGTAATATCTTACATGTGTTCATTGTTCTGCTAGGAAGGAAGGTGCCAAGGAAAAAAATGCTGTGTTGCTTGTTCATGTGGATGCACGATGCTTACCTGATACACAAACATGAGAAGATCAATCTTCACTTGATCTCAGCCTCACCGTGATTCGTGATGGGATCTGTTTTTGAGAAACAGATTGCCGCTAACAGTTTGCACGTCTTCAAGAATGTTGTTCAAGCTGGAATTGGGGTTCTAAACAATCTAGACAACATAACGTCTGTCATCAACCTGTATGTGGAGTAGCAATGCCAACCTGAGTGCATCACCACATGTAATATGTGCAAGTGCAGCGTTGAAAAGGGCAGAGCTTTGGGCATCCTGATCCATGCACGATGACTGCTCGCCGGGAAGCAGGATCTGTCACTAAAGTATCAGAGTTGCAAAGTGAGCATGCATACCACTCAAACACACCATCTTTGATTCTCATGTTTGACCTTTGTCACCATGTTGGTCTTGGCATCTTTCAGTAGCCTGATGGTCACTGGATGGGCAACATTCATCATGCATCGAGAGGGAGGGATGGGTTGGGGATTCCTTACCACCCACCCCCTGATCCCAAGATTGAGTGCCGTATCGATCACCCTCCTGTTTCAGGGAATTATGACACATGAGAAAGGGTGGGTACCTTACGTTAAAGTTCAAATTTTGAATACACGCCTCTGACCAGGGGTTATGCCTCCTGTATCCAACAGAGAAAAGCATGGGTGGGTCGATAGGATTTTCGGTACTATTCTTGTACCACGAAGGCGTGTAGAATTGATTTTATTGTCGTCATGCAGTACAGTTTGAATCTAAGAATAGCACGCCGCCGATACAAATTTCTGCATGCAAATACTTGGAATAAAAGGTTCACAACCTACCCTTGCCCCAGCCAAGTCGCCCACCCGACCTACTCTTTTCCCATGGGAGAGTGAGGGTGGGGTCTACTCCAGGCAAGGGCAGAAGACCCCCAGGCGCCATCAGGGGGGGAAGGACTGGTACAAATTGCACCCTAGCAAATCTGGTCTTTTTTTTTCTACTTTTTTGGGGGTTCACATGGGGTCCGTATATACACTCCCTGTTGACTACTGATGGAACGTATGCCAGCCGTGCCAGTCAGATAGCGCCGAGTTAACAAAAACTCTCCTGTAAACCAAGACGACTTCCGTGGCGAGGCGGCATGTAGTACATGGGATGAAGAGGGGACCTTCCTAGCCGTCTTGCTAAGGTCCTCTCATGTCTGGATGCTTGTGTTTCACATCCTAGCATACAGTCTATCTCTCATGTGCTCCTCAATTCTGGATTTGTGTGCATTAAACTCGGTCTTGAGCAAAAACTGTCTTGTTACAACTAAGGTCGATGTGATATCTGCGTGACTTTGGACTAGTACAAGTCCAACAAACTTGTATTCCGTCACACAGCCGCTCCGGAAACGTTTTCAAGTAGAGCTCCAAGGTCAATTGAGAAACCGGGCAACGCTAGGAGTCGGCGGAGTCCAGGCCAGATCACAGATGATCTCCTGGGACTGCCAGCTGAGTTCCCGGCATTGGATCCGACTACCGTCAAACTCGGATGGATCATGCCGCACGCCGGAATGCCGGAGATCATGCCGCACTGCAAGCAACAAGTTGGCGGCACTGAGTGGGCCGGGGCTCCGGTCGGCGGCACTGCGGCCGCGGATCGGATGATCCGATGATGATCATCGGGCCTTGCCGTGACCGTACGTTAGCCGTCAGTTGGCACTGGCCACCTGATCAGAGGCGGGCTCGATCATCGGACTTGCCGAATAGTCGCCTTTGCAGTGAAACACCCATATGGGTGGGGTAAAAGAAGGGTAAACTGGGGGTGGGGGTGGATGCAGTCAAATAATGGATACTAAATGATAGTAATCAGATGCTCGGAGACCATAAGGGGGTAGGGGTTACCTTTTTTTTCGGAAAGAACTACAGGGGTAGTGGATATTTGAACTAGAAACAAGGGGTTCATGATGGATGGTATCTTTTGGGAGGGGGTAGGGTAACCGTGATAAAAGTCGGGATGCAGTTTTTTACGCCTGGGGTTGCAAGGGAGGGAAGGGGAGGGGAGAGGAGGGGGGAGAGGAGAGGAGAGGAGAGGAGAGGGGAGGAGAGGAGAGGGGAGAGGAGAGGGGAGGAGAGGAGAGATGAGGGGAGATAGAGAGCAGAGTAGAGTGAGTTGAGGAAAGAGGGTTCTGAGATTGGAGGACATGGGAGGAGTTAGGATATTGATTGAGAGAGGGAGAGTACGAAAAACGGATAGGAAGTTAGAGTCGTTGTGAATGTGTTTGAGCAACAATGAATCTTTTTGCGCTAGAAATCTAATGAATATCATGATACCAGGTATGAGACTATCAGAGTGTCCAAGAACAACCTTGTGCTCATAATCATCATCATCGATCGGTCATCCATTGATATCAATTGAATCAGTCGCCATGTCGTCTTCCAACATCGTGATGGATTTCCTCAACGTGGTCACACTCAGCAGGAGTAAGTTCATCCTCGTTGCAAGGGCGGTTGCGTGCTTGAAAGTTCTCTCTCTCGCCTATTTCGTCCTCTGGTCTTACGGGAGCGGCTTGTGCTTCCGGCACTTGACGGGCCTGGCGAGCGGAGCTGTCTTCATCCCGTTCTTTTTTTGCCTCGTGCTCTTTGGGATTGAAGTGATCTTCTGGATGACCTCGCTGTACAAGAGGATGCTTACTCGCATGTATGCCCAGAGCCTGCTGGACGCCAACCGCAACCTCCTCGCTCTCTGCACCCCCCAGCTGTGCATGGCACAGAAGAAGCGCATCAGAGGGCTAAACACTCTGACGGACCTCGGCATTCTGATCTGGCTGATCATCGTTGGGTCCATGTACGGGGAGTTTGAGAGGTCGCAGGCAACAACGGCTTGCAACTACGTACAGGACTATGGCGATGGGTACGCAGGAGTCACGAGCTGCGTCATCTGCAGCCTCCAGCCTCTTGTCGCTGCGTACGCCTGCTTCCTCGGGGTGTCGGTCGGTATCATCCTCAAGACGGTTGTCCTGGCGTCGCAAGGAGACTTCACGCTCCAGTCGCGGGTGCTGGAGAACGTCCTGATGAACGGGTCGAGGTTCAAGAACGCCTTCTGGATCTGGATCACCTGCAGCGAAGTCCGGCAGCTCTACTCCGCCACGCTGTCGGGTGTGCTCTTCATCCCAGCGCTGCTGCTGATCCTGGGAGGGTATGTGATCGTGCCTCCTAGCGCACAGATCGTCCTGGCTCCCATCCTCTACGTGCTGACGGGGATCATCTTGGTGGTGGACGGAGGCGTCGTGTACTTGCCATGGCGGATCCTCTCCTCGCTCTTCTTCACGGGCGAGTCCATCGTCTCTCTTGACATCACCTCCATGGTGTCGAGGCCTCAGCGCAAAGTTGTCGCCTCCTTCCTGTGGTTTCTCTCAGTGCCATGGGTAGGAGGCTGCCAGTTGGCCAACATGGGGGCGCTAGGAGGGATCAACAACTTTGCCGCCATCCTGCTCGTTCTCTGTGTCGTCCTCACAATCTTCCTGTTCCTTGTCCGGGATCACGAGATGTCAGTCCAGCAGCTGCTTAAGAGAGAAACCGTTGACAACTACGGGCTCGTCTTGTCCAAGGACCGCCTGGTCTCTGAATTCTCGCGCATCCTGGAGGCAAGCAAGAGCGGCCCAGCTGTTGTCGAGCATGACGTTCGGATCCCAACCTTCCTCGCTAGTCAAGACAGAGTCGATCTCTCCGCCGTGATCAGCTACCGATGGAGCGACGAGTTTCTGTACAGGAAGAAGAACCCGCAGGCTGCTGCTCCTCGTTGCTACAAGATTCGGCTTGCAGGCAACGACGGCTTCGATTGGGTGGTCACGATAGTGGAGCCGATGCTGCAAGGGATGGTGAATGCACTGGCGAGAGGCAGTCAGGAGTATGTCTGGATGGATCAGTTCTCGATCCCTCAAGTCAACTCAGCAGGGACGAAGGAGCATGAAAGAGTGAAAGAGGCTTACAGGAACGCCTTGATCCCTCGCATGATCGGCCTCTACTCTTCGGGAGGGCTAGTAGTCGCTTTCAACAACACCGGAGATTCAAGGATCCTGGAGCAGGACTGGTACCAAAGTCGGCTGTGGTGCGTGCAAGAGTACTCCTTCCCCGAGAAGATCGTCTTCGAGAACATCAGCAACTCTGGTGGGGAACATCAACAAGAGATTGCCAACAAGCGCAACAGGTTCAACCAGCTGTGGTTCAGGTTGACCAACAGGATCCGGTCGAATCAGGTGGCGGACGTTCTCATGGACAACGAGAGCGTGAAGAGGAAGATCTTGCTCGATTGGGATAGCACGCTCGATACTTTCGCGCAGGACGTGGTCAACCGAGTGGCTCAGATAGGAGCGGCGGATTACCTTGACAACGTCAAGAAGCTCAGCGCGTCCAATCGAAATGATATCCTGCCTGCCCTTGCGCAAGCTTGGTTTGGGGTCATCATGACCAAGGAGGAGACCAAGTTTCACTTAGTCATCTCCATCCTTGGCGCCTACTTCCTCACTAGCGAGCAGACGTCGTTCGACGTGATCGTCAACCGCGAGACCGACAATGGAGTTTGCCCGCCCTCAGGGACCATGTCGGTTGATCGCATGCTTGCCGACTACCCCGCGGGCCTGGAGAAGGGGAGGGCACAGCTAGTCAAGATAGCGTGCAGGGCTGAGACGAGGCAGCAACGACGTGGGCAGCCGGACTTGTACGTGTTCTCAGGGAAACTCTTGCTTCCTGCCGGGTTTGACAAGTGGGAGACGGTCTTGGAGTGCGTAAGAGACACAGAGACTGTAGAGGAAGGAACTAAGAAGTATCTTCTCGTGAAGATGACTGTTAGAGTTCCGGCGCCTGCTCTGGAGGAACAAGGGCAGACGGTCCAGGAGTTCGAATGTCTGTGATGGAGGTGAGTTCCTCGGCAAGACGAGAATCTAGAGCTTTAACAGTATAATGAACTTTGTTGCTGCAATCAAAGGTTGAAACTGTGCGATCATCATCAAAATCTCTCATCACCACCGACTCCTCCTCCTCCTCCTCCTCCTCCTCCTTCTCCTCCTCCTCCTCCTCCTCCTTCTCCTCCTTCTCCTCCCCCCCCCCCCTCCTCCTCCTCCTCCTGCCAGTACTACACCAGGAGTCTCCACTCTGATTTCACATCGCTGGAGGAGAAGTAGAGCAGCGTGCTCCTCCTGCTCCTCCTGCTCCTTCTCTTCCTGCTCCTGCTCCCGCTCCTGCTCCTCCTGCTCCTGCTCCTCCTTCTCCTCCTTCATTTCTTCCGCATGCTTCGTCGCAGCTTCGCCCTATGGAGAAGTCAAAGCTACAAGCAGAAATGCACGTGCAAGACTGTTCTCTCGAAATCTGAGATAAAGTTCAAATGTACAATCTAAATTTCATTAATTGAAGGCACCATTTCACACAAAACAAACCGAAATCAATGGTGGGGTGGGGTAGTGTTGTTATGGGAATGAGACCTGGGGTACTCACCTGGAGCTAGCAATTGGTCCTAGGAAGAGATAACGATACAGGCAGGCTGTACGTGGGGGTATCAAAAAGTGGCAGTATGAGGGGTGGGGGTACAGGGGTGGGGGAAAGAAGTTTGCAGAGCATGGCGCTCATATTTCATGGCTCAACGCTGGGAGGAGGAGGAGGAGGAGGAGGAGGAGCAGAGAGCTTGGTCGTTCATGGTAGCGCTGAGAATGCTCTGAAATGCATTGGATGTGGTGGCTACGAAGCGGAGAACATGGAGGAGTTGCGTGCTCACTACAAGTCAGAGTGGCATCGGCACAACCTCAAGAGAAAGGTTGCCGGGCTGGCGGCGATCGGAGAGCAGGACTTCTTGCTACGAGTAGCAGCGTATGTGGGTGAACAAGGAGCAGATAGACAGAAGAAGAAAGAGCACCTTGGAAAGAAGGCCAGAGAGAAGGCCGAGAAGAGGGAAAAACACAAGGACGGCAAAACTGAGGAGACTGGAGCAGGCACGGCAAACAGCTCTAGTGAAGGAAACAGTGCATCGAATCTCCCTGACTTCTCTCAGATGTCTGAAGAGGAGTTCATGGAGTGGCGAGCGCAGAATGCTGAGCAGCTGGAAGACGTCGATTCGTTCTTTGATCGGCACAGGAGCGAGAGCTTACATGAAAACCTCGAGTACATGGCAAAGAAGTTTGGTTTCTTCATCCCATTCCTTGACAAGTGCAACAATCTTGATGGGATGTTAGAGTACATCAGGCAAAAGCTCACCGTTGGATGTGTTTGCTTGTGGTGCAACAAGACCTTCTACTCGTTGGGGGCTGTAAGGAACCACATGATTTCAAAGTCCCACTGCAAGATCAACTTCGAGGGTTGCGAGGAGGAGTATCAAGACTTCTACGACATCGATCTCTCCCCCAACAGCCTCGGAGTGGATGAGGAGGATGAGGACGAGTGGGAGACTGATGATGAGGAGGAGATCGACGAGGACGAGATGGGCGAAGAGCAGCAAGGGAGTAGCGCGATAATTGTTTCCACACAAGGGAAGAAGGCAGAAGCTGCCAGGATGTCAAAGAAACACGCGAAGCAAGTCAGCGAGCTGTCTATCTCTGGTGGGGAGGACGGAGCAGCCAGCAAGGTGTTGGGACATCGAGCATTCAAGGTAGAAATCCCAACCCCCCCCCCCCTATTGCTGCTCCTTCCGATCTACCGCTGCTTGTGACATCGCCGTCAATGTCGTGCTGCCTTCAGTCTAAACCTTCCTCCTTCCTTCCTTGTTCTCCTCCTATTCTCTCCATCTCGCCTTCGCCTTCCTCTTCCCACTCACTCCTGATTGTATCCAAACATTTTCCTGTCTTTGACTAGAATGTTACAGAAATACTACAGGCAAAGGCTAAGGCCAGAAATTTTAGGATCAAAGAAATCCAACGATGCACATGGGTGATGTTTCTTCATCCGAACACTGCAAACCAAACTATTGATCTTCCACTTTCTCCTTCCTCCTCCCTTCTCTTTCCGTCCTTCTCTTTGGTCCCTATTCTTCCATCATCGTTTCTCCTCTCAATCTCTTGAACGTTTTCTGTCCCTTTGCGTTGCTATGTCGTCTCATGTTGTTGCTTCCTGTACTGACGCCAAACGAGCAGAAAGATCGTCGGTCTGCTTACCAATTCCTACCAATCGAATGGCATAGTGACGCTCTACCGGGGATCGTCAAGAGTAGCCAAGGTTGAAGAGGAGAGCAGGAGAGCAGGGGAGCAGGGGAAGAGGGGTTTAGGAGAGGAGGGAGAGAGGAGAGGAGAAATGGAGCTTGTAACGCTCTGCTCTCAGGCAAACCGTCAGATGGAGAAGATGGAGCTGAAGGTGCGCGACAAGTGGTGGGTCAAGGTTGGAGTTCGCGCGAACAAATTCCACCAGGTGAAGAGGAGAAGAGGAGAGAAGGAAGAAGGAGGGAGAGGAGGAGGGAAGGAGAGGAGGAGGAGGTGGTGGTGGTGGAAATAAGGAAGGAGGGAAGGAGGAGTGAGACAGAGTGAAGGTGGGGACAGGGGGAACAAGGAAGAGGGACGACGTAAGGAGAACGAAAGCAATCGAGAGATCAAAGTAGGAGGGAGGGAGAGGAAGAACGGGGGAGGGGGGAGGGTTAGCCGAGGGAGACAGTATACTTCGTGATGTGACTGAATGGCGTGCAGGTTCGGAGGGAGGATTATCATGCTTGAATTCAGGCATATTGTTTGCACGCTTATTTCACGTTTGTGTTACATCTGAAAAGAGACGTCCTGCTACCTCCCTCCCACGACTTCACTGACTCCCTCCCTCCTGGCCTTCCTCTTTCTTGGGTGCTCCCAGAGGGAAGAAGGCCTTGCCAGTCTTGAAGGAGGAGATGGACCCGACCAGCTTTCTCTGCTCTCCTTTCCCTTCTCCTTCCCCTCCTCCTTCGTCCTCTTCAGAGGAGGGCAGTGCTGTTGGCGGCTCCATCCCTTTGCCGTACACCCACACAGCCATTGAGTGCCCGCTGAGGTCGAAGGTCTGCCTGGCGAAGCTGCGCATGTCGGAGAGAGAGACGGGGGAGAGGGAGAGGAGGAGACGTTGCTTCCTGTCCCAGTCGTACCTCCTGAGGCTGATTTCCCGCCATAGCCGCGAAGTCTCTTGTGACATGCTCGTCTCCTTTTCCTGGATCTCTGCCATGAGCGCTGACTTGTGGTTGGTGAAGGTGTGCTCCGACATGGTGGTGAGGTTCGTGAGGAAGGAGCGGATGAACCTGCGCGGTTGTAAGGAGGAGGAAGAGGAGGAGAAGCATCAATAGGGCGGAAGAAGGGGAGGGAGGGGGGAAGCGAGAGCAGAGCAGAGCAGAGCAGAGCAGAGCAGAGCAGAGCAGAGCAGAGCAGAGCAGAGCAGAGCAGAGCAGAGCCAGCAGAGAAAGGTGTGTTTGTGGGGGAAGGGACGAGAAGGAGAGGACAGGAGGGGAGGGAAGGGGAGGGAGTCAGGGGTTTCATCACCGTCTAGCAGATCGATCGAGAGCTGCGGGGTCCTTGAGGGAGCTCTGGATTATGACGCTGATCCCGTCGACAGGAGGAGGAAGGGAACCCCACAAAGGTCTCATCTTGCATGCCACAATGTACCCTAGTTGCTCCTTGGTTCTCAGCTGGTTGAAGCAAGGCTCCGAGATCATCGTCCCCAGCAGCGCCGCTCGCACGTCCTGCTCGATGCCCTGCTGGGGAATCTGATAGTAGAGCTCGAGAGCATGGTTGAGATCCTCGGGGTTGGTGTGGGACATCGGGAACACGTACCCTCCTTTCAGCTGGACTACCTGCTCGGTATGTCAACTTTCCCACCTCCCTCCTCCTCTACAGCACCTGCTGAAGGTCCCGCTCGTCCTCGGAGAGGGGGGAGGCGTCGAGGGAGAGGAGGAGCTGCTGAAGGAAGCTCTTGGCCGAGGAGGAGGCAGCGTTGCCGTGCACGAAGCCCTCGACGAAGACGCGGGAGAGGAGGAGCTGAACATGCTCGACCACAGCCTCGAGGGTGACGGAGGGGAGGGAGAGCTCATAGAGCAGGCGGTCAACCGTCCAGCCGCGCTTCAGCAGGAGGAGGGAGAGGTGCTCTAGAGCCTTGGAGTAGGGGGACCCCTTTTTCGAGTTCGTCAGAACCCTTCTCAGCTCGTCCTTCATGGTCTCGAATCGCCCAGGATGAGTCCAGCTGCAGCCCACTTTGGACTTCAAGCAGCGGACGAGCTGCCCGCAGACCTGCTGGAGGAGGAGGAGGATCTTGTCGGAGTAGCCGGAGAAGGAGAGCTTGAGGCCGTCAGAGGAGGGCTGGACGCTCCAAGAGAGTCCGGCAACAGCTGAATCGTAGGTAGTCTCGACCATGGCATCGGTGAAGACCATGCAGAAGAGGGAGGAGAGGAGCGAGGAGCGGGCTGAGGAGTCTGCGTGGGGGGTGAGGAGGAGGAAGAGGATGTTGACTTTGGGCTGGGCCTTCCAGTTCTTCTCTGGAAACTCGACATCCTGCTTCCACCACAGGCGAGCTCCCTGCTGACTCACCAGCTTGATCGGGGAGGAGGAGTTCCTCGCTGCTGCTGCTGCTGCTCCTTCGAAGGGAACCATGGAAAAGTTTGTCGGGATGAATCGGTTCGGAGAGACGATGCGGAGTTTGCCGTCGATGACCCCGCTGTTCCACTTGTTGAGCTCCTCAGCACCGACGGCCTTCATGGCGTATCTCGTGCCGTAGATCGCCTCCCGCTCCTTCGCCTCCCCCGCAAACTCCGGGCCAGAGATAAAGATGTCAGCGTGCTCGGGCCGCAGCTTGTTCAGCAACCAGTCGATCAGCTGGGGGTCGAACTGGCCGTAGGTATATGGGGCGCTGATGGCGAACTTGGGAGGGTAGAGCTGGAGGTTGGAGGCAAGAGCGATGACGTACCTGGGGGGAACGTGAGGAGTGGAGGGAGAGAGAGGAGAGGGGAGGAGGGGAAAGGAGAGAAGAGGACGAGGAAGAGGAAGAGGAAGAGGAAGAGGAAGAGATGAATGGGATAGAGGAGTTGAAAGGAGAATGAATATAGGAAGAGGAAGGGGTGAGGGAGAGGCAGGGACTTCAGCACCAACGCGTGGAGGCGAGGCAAGTAAGAGGAAAACGAAGATGTGAAAGGAGGAGGAGGACGAGGAGAGGGGGGATGAGAGAAGATTTGAGGTCAAAAAAGGAGCACAGGGATGAGCAGAGGCAAGAGCAGCGGAGCCTAGAGCAGAAGCCAAGAGCCAATAAGGAGAAAGAGGAGGAGGAGGAGGAGGAGGAGGAGGATGGAGGAGGAGGAGGAGGAGGAGGAGGAGGAGGTGGTGGTGGTGGTGGAGGAGGAGCGCATACCTCGTTGCGCCTTGAAAACCCGCTTGTTGTCAAGCTGACGGAGATCTCAAAGGATGCTCCGTACCTCTGATCGGTGCTGGCGCCAGCCGAGAGGCTCTCAATCAGCCCTCTCTTCTTCAGCAGCGCCGCCAGCGAGCCCTTGGCCTCGTGCCCGAGCAGGTGAGAGACGTAGGAGCCAGCCTTCTTGTGGAAAGACTTGTACAGCGGAGGAAGCTCCCACAGCACACTCAGGTGCCGCTGCTCTCGGATCGGCACGTACTGGACCATGCGGACCCCAGCTGAAGGCGGCCTGATGGGAACGTCCCAGGTGGGAGGCGGAGAGTGACCGTAGTTGGGGACCCCCACAAAGAGCCGGCGGACGAGCGCTTGCAGCTCAGCTTGGGGTTTGCTGGAGAGAATTGCGAGGCACATGCGGCTAGCGGAGTAGTGCTTGATGTAGAAGCGACGGAGAGCTTCGCGGGTCTTGTGGCACCTGAGGAGAGCAGGAGAGTGAGGTATGGGGAAGAAAGAAAATAGGATGAAAGGGAGGATAAGGATAGGAGCGGACAGAGAGGAGAAGCAGGAGCAGGAGCGCAAGAAGGAGCAGGGGCAGTTGAAGAATAGGGGGA